TTTTATTTTGAAATGTGTTAAGAGTTATAGAAGGTCCTGTAAAAGTCAATGTTTTATAATTAACATACAACTGTTTTTGTGACCTGCCAAATATAATTCTTAGAAATAAAATGAAATTGGGATCTAAAAAGAGGCTTTTTCCAGATTGTAGGCGTCCCTCACCTTGCCGGGGTAATGTTGTTTGAACTGCACCACACTGGATGTGAAGACAGCTCCACTGACCCAGGCCTCAGCGATGTGGTGGCACAGTTCAGGCACGCTGAGGACGCCAGGCTGCACCAGACCCCAGCTGGACAAAGAGAAGAAATGATCAACACCCCAGGCTTTCTATTTATACTATTGTTGTTGTTGTTGTTGTTATAGTTGAAATACTTGCTGCTGTATTAACACACCTCTCATTTTCTGGTTCTTCCAGGTTTCTGACTGTGGAGAGAGAGAACATTCATCACTTTCAGAAACATACTGAGCGTACAATAAATAAAAAGCTATCATATTAGTTACAAATTATTTCTAAACTCGTCTTAATTCTCTGATCTTTTGTAGATTATGTTACACAAATTTAACAACAGGTTTGAGAGATTAACTGTTACAGATGTAATATAAATCACTTGCAAAGTCCAGAATGTATGGCATATCTTTCTGACAAAGTACCCTTGTTACAATCTGGGGAAAGGGCTATGGTGCAATTAATGCAATCAAAAAGTGAAGTAAAGAAGAAGCAGTCTGTTAGAAATATATAAAAAGTCACATGTAGCACACCTCTAATCTCTGGCCAGATTTTATTTCTCCAGGTATCAACAGTGACAATCAGAGCCAGACCAAAAGCCAGCAGGAACAGCAGGCGCAGCGAGGTCAGGGCGAAGAACCTGGAGGGCAATAAAACAGAGCAAATACATGAGCAAAATATACTTTTAATGAGTAAATAATAAAAAGTTTACCAAAACAGTGTCACAGATTCAATCACTTAGTACAGAATTGATGAAAGTAATGATGTTTATTCAGAACTAAAAAAGGTGAAAGTGGTGAAGTTTAAAGTCAAGTGTTCCAAGTGATGCACTAGTTTCAGAAAACCTGAATGTTTGTTGACCACAACACCGTTTACAGATTAACCTAACAAAGAATGTGTTGGCAGAATGTGGGGTGTTGGTATTTGGGGTAATACTGCAATAAGCAGCTACAGTTGGGGAAAAGCATAAAATGCAAATGTATCAGTAAACCAATCCCTGGTACGCACATAATATATAAACTTCCAAATTATTGCAAAAAAGTGTCAAAACAACGCTCACTTAAACAACATTCTTTGAAGATACATTTTATTGTATGGTTCTATTTAATTGTATTATTTTGTAAGCTATATCCATTTTCCCCTTGGTGCTCTAAGAAGGTTAAACAAGACCTGCAGTCAGAATGGTTGCCTGTATCTCCTCCTCGTCTCCATGTGACTTGCCATAGTCAGTTGCTTCATGCAGATCATTAGTGTATATCTTTGCCAGCAACACGGAGTGTGTTGAAGCACAAGTAAAAGGGAGACATGCCTCCAAGTCTAATCTAATAATGTCTGAATGCCTGAGCTCCACAAGCCAGCCTAGTTTCCCAGGTCAGTGGTTCTCGCCATACAGCAGTATCAATGTCACTTCATTTAGCCGAAATATATCCTATACTCTCTCCTCTTGGTTTCTACTGTACTTGGTTCTTGATGTTCCACCAACAGATTAAGCGACAGAAAACAAACACCAACTATTTAGATATTTCATTTCAGCCCAAATAAAAAGAGTTCTTACTTAGTGTCTTATTTATTTCATATTAAACTAGATATCTTTGGGTTTGGATGGAGAAAAACAGACATTTAAAATACATTATCTAGGACTTTAAGGAGGAAAAATGGTTATTGGTAAAACACAGACTGCTATTCACGGACATGGGCTTAATACCTCTAAGATGTGCGGAAAGACCCGTAAAAAAGGAATTCCCTCCAACTTCTGCATCGAAAACACATTGACCTGTTAATGGCAGATTTAACCTAAATGTACAGCCTCACACACTCAAGCCGCTTCAATGGAAATGGTAAAGTAGATAATCGCTGTTATCAAGATGAAGAAAACCGTTTTTCCAGGAGCCACATGAGAGATAAGGTGGAAATGTTTTTAGTGCATTAACCATACACAACCATCATCAATGATGTGCTGCAATGTTTTAAAGTAAGGTGCAATACCCCCTGTTGTTTTACATGTTAATTTATCAAATGATTGATGACAGATTCCCCTTACAGCATTAACACTAATTTAACCATTGTGCGTTTGGCACTATACGTTAACCTTATTTGTGCTTGTTTTAGGCGCATGTCTTTTCTGTGTATGCACTTTGAAAGCAACAACATATAAGTCTATATCTTTGTATGTGCACAGAGAGCTGATTTAAACGGCCATTAAATCTGATTCTGAGTGTGTCTATAAATAGTGCCACTAGCCAGCCATCTGCCCTCTTTTGAATTGACAGGTGAACATTGCATTGTGTAGAATCACCATCTGCTTGAGGTCACTGGCTCTCACCCAACAACCAGCACACACTGTCTGTATTGTCTGGATGTAGGTTGCCATAACAGAAACAGACTAGGGAAACAGAACTACAAAATGTACAAAGTTTGAGCTGAAAACTTACCAGAACACCACGTTGACCACCGTGTAGATAAGCACACACTGTAAGGGTCTCTCCCACACCAGGACGGACTGTAGGTAGGTCAGCACGGGCTCGTAGGGCCCCAGCCTGGACTGGAGAGCGGCTTTGACAGCCCGCACCTGGCCGTCTCTCTCGCTCGAGCATGGTCGACTTCGCATGCAAATACTAGACCCCTGCTGGGCAGAGCCATCATCCAAGGGTGCACCTTCCATTGCCCCAATGTGCGCCATCTTAGCTGTCTACAGATGATAAAATCAGCCTGTGAAAATAGACATGAGTGGAGACAGGTACATGAGAAGGGACGCCACGGAGCAGCAGCACTCACTACATTAACAGTGCTATGCTAATGCTAGCTAGCTAACCACGCCAGTTAAATCATCTGTTAGCGTCTAACACTAAACTACCAATTATAGTAGAAACGAGCTTTGTATCACATACAGAATCAAAATGTTTTAAGATAACATGACACGTACTATTTTGTCATTTTTGCTGAAGTGAAATGCTCTCTTCGGATTCTGACAATATGGCGTAACCTGTTTTTCTGAGACAGCAGTCCAATCAGAATCCCCTTTGTCATGCTGCATTCAGGTGCAATAGGACAAGTTTGTTTACTTTGAAGCACATCATTGACAAACTTCTTTGAATATAAATGTAGGCCTACTTATTTTCGTTTTTTTTTTGTATCTTTCATGGCTGTGTACGTACAAAATAAAGCTAAAGTATATATCTATTATTTTTGTTAAGAATCCATGTACCACTAAAATGATGATACTTTACTTTTAATATCAATGAAAGTAAAATCAGAGACACAAGTCGGTAAAGCTGTGACTTGGTAATGCAGCAGAGCTCTGATTTATTTTTATTTATTTAATAAATTAAATGAAAAAGTTTGTTATTTGAAATAGTTAAGCTTGGCACTAGAGTTAAGGGTTTTTTAAAAGAAAGAGTTCACGAAACTGTAAATGTTTCTACAGGGCTCTCATGTTGTCAAATGTGTAACTACATTAGCCTGTAAACGTTTTATTTTTAACGCCGTAACCGGAAGTGATAACAATGTTATTATGTCTAACTTTGATCGGCTGAGTTCACTTGTAGTTACTGATTGTGACCACTAGAGGGCAGACAAACGCACGACTGTAAATAAATGTTATGATCAGATCATTTTTTAAATGAGATTCGTTTTAGAAACAAAACGAATCTCAATATTATTGACAAATACCTTGTAGAATTATCACCAAATAAAATCATGTGTACAATGTTTAAATTGTAACTGTGACCACGGTATTGTTAAACCCCTATATCCTCTCATACAGTCTGTCTATCTTCAGTCAATATCAAACAAATACATAATGTTATAATAATAATAAAATAATAATAGTATAATTATTACATGTTGAGATTTTATCATAATTGTTATTATTATTATTATTATTATAAAAGGATACAGTTTTAAAATCCTCATTAGATCTCTATCTAACAAGTGTATCACCCTGACCCACCACTTACAACTTTTATATATACAGTCTATGCTTACAACATGTCAGTAAAAATACAATAAACGGTACTTGAGTAAAGTGTACTTACATCTCAACCTTTATATAGGGTGTTTCTCAATCGCGAGTAAAGCTGCTTCAGAGCCACTATTTCAAGCATACTACGTCATCGAGTGCCGCCGAAGTACTGTTCCAATCTCCAGTATACTTGGAAATCTACCGAGCCCGGCGTACTCCGTTTGGAGAAATATCGAGTGTGCACATGAGTAGACTTCGCGGTCTTAAAATCCCCACAATGCTTTGCGCACGGACCAATTTCCCCAAATCTGTGGCGGAAGATGTAAGGCGGGGCCTCTCATATGACGCACACCTGCACACTTGCTAGCGTGTTCCACACTTCGTTTTCCGAATGCCAGGAAGTATTCTTGACTCGCTTCTGAAGCAAGATGCTCGGCAGACATGTGCTACCAAGCAAGCGTACTCGCGATTGAGAAACACCCACACAGTCCATGATCTCAACGCAACGAATATCAAGACAGAAACAATAACATACTAGTACTTCCGGCAAAGACTTTCAAAATAAAACAATCAAATTACCGTTTAGGCAGCATACTAGAACCAGAGGAAGGGCGAGGTTTCGTGTTTTTCATATGAGTTTGGCCTGTAAAATAAAAAAATTAATATGTCTTGCACGGTATTTCTCATTTCAATGTGTCAAATTATACTCTCTTTATGACTCGACAAGCTCCGATACAGTAGGCGGCGGTAGGCAGGGGTTTGCAAGCCGCCATTAAACAGCAGAAGAAGAGTCCGCTGCAGCGTCACATCAGCACCAAGCGGGAAGCGGCGGGCTGGTAGTGGTGAAGCGTTTTCAGCAGCAGTCTACTTTTCTTGTGTTATTTAGCTAGCAAGCAGGTACGCAGGCTAGCTAAATAAGACTCAAACATGCCTCGGGAAATCATAACGCTCCAGCTTGGACAATGTGGAAATCAAAGTACGTGAAAGAAGAAGCTTGTTATTAGATTCCTGTGGTATCATGCTTATATTGTTAGCCAATGTCCAACATTTAAGTTAGCTAGCTAGGATGATGTATGGTGGAATGGCGATATCTAAGTGCTAGTATCTAGTATATATATTATTACACAAAACAGCAAATGTATAAACTATGTTAGCTGAATTGAAGTTAGCTAATGGTGTCTCTACATAGCATAATATAAGTGACCGTTAAACTAGCTAACGTTACCTGTGCAGTGTCATTCGTGTAACCATGCAGGTTCTGGTTGATGGTGTTCACCGTGTGTCTAATACACTTGTTATCAGTTAATTAAAGTGACTTTACATTACCGTTTACCTGACCTGCTGCTCTCTGTGTTGCAGTCGGGTTTGAGTTTTGGAAGCAGCTGTGTGCAGAGCATGGCATCAGTCCAGAGGGGATTGTGGAGGAGTTTGCAACTGAAGGGACAGACAGGAAGGATGTTTTCTTCTACCAGGTAACTGCTTCAATTCAATCCATTATATCCACAACATGTTAAATGCTCTTTCTGTGAATTACTTCCTTAATGAAATCCTCCCCTTGAATATTCTTTTTTGGGGAAGATATTGCAATTTTTTCAGATTTTGCTTTTTACAATACATATACCCTGAGGTGGAAAAAGTACTCAGATTTCTTTATTTCAGTAAAAGTAGAAAAACTACATTTTCAAAATACTTTCTTTAAGAAAAAATACTTAATTGTGCATAATGTCCCATTTTAGTGGTATATATATTAATTCACTGGATTATTATTATTCATGCTTTAATGTGTTTATCACTGCTGGTAAAGATGGAGCTACTTTAATTAATTGATAAACTACTGCTCCATATCTCAAAGCGTCTTTGAGCACCAGGAAAAATGTATTGTTATTATTAACCTATAGTTGTATTAGTTTATTTGTATTGTGTAATAGCTTATAATGTGAATATGTAAAGTTAGTAGTAACTAAGAGTAGAAGAATAAAGTAGCATAAAATGAAAATACTTCAGTAAAGCACCCCAAATCTTGCGTAGCTACAGTACTTGAGTAAATGTACTTCAATACATTGCACCACTGTAAATGTCACATGTGGTTGCTATGATCATCGCTATGAAGAACTTAATGCATTTTCTATTAAAATGATTTATTAATACAGGAAATAGAACAGTGTATTTACCACAAAACATATTGTCGTACACTCCCGTCTACTTAATTTATATTTACTATATATTTTTTTGGTGTCTTTTTCTGTTTGGCATTGCTTATTGTTTTGTTTTTCTCAACACCTCATGTGTATGTGGGTTGATGTACCACTGCAACAACATTATTTGCCACTAGATGGAGTAGTTGGATTAAAACCTTGTTCCTGCAGCCAAACGCAGGACTGTAAACTTCATCACTAGCTAACTCCTGTTTTTTCATGAAACTCCCCAGGCTGACGATGAGCACTACATCCCTCGGGCAGTCCTCATGGATCTGGAGCCGAGGGTGATCCACTCCATCCTCAACTCCCCGTACGCAAACCTTTACAACCCGGAGAACATCTACCTCTCTGAGCATGGCGGAGGCGCGGGGAACAACTGGGCTAGTGGATATTCACAGGTAATCACAAAAATAAATGTCAATCTTTAACCCTTAGAAATAAAACCAGATCGCAAGTTAAGTCTGCTATGTTTTTTCTTTCTGTCTAGGGCAAAAAAATCCAAGAAGACATCTTTGACATCATTGACCGGGAGGCCGATGGCAGTGACAGTCTGGAGGCAAGTCGCTGTTTATCACATACAGACTGTCCCAGAGGCAGGGGGGGGGACAGGGCTGTGGCTGTAGAGCATCTTCAAAACTGATTGAAAAGTAACCTGATATTGTTGTGTGATGAAACATTACATAGTAACTTAAACTCTTACGAGAACTGAAGCCCGAACCTCAAATATGCACTAGCGTATTTACAGTATTTGTAGTTCGAAGGAAGTAGGATGAGATTCATTTCATACTTAAAATACACAACAAGTAGAAATGAAAGTTGGAGAAATACGTCACACACTCTCCAGGTGCAGTTCTCTGTTATTCTGATGACATTTCTTCTACAAAATCAACAAGAACTGAAAGAATAAAACAGAAACCCATCTGGAGTCTGATAAAGCCTATAGAAACAGCAAGAATCTTGTCTGAATAAAACACATAATCAGACAACAGGACCCTGGAGACAGACATGTAAAAAGGCCCCTCACTCCTAGACAGAGAAAGACACAAAACTACTCAAAAGGAAATGTTTGTGGTTGTTTCGCTTCTCTTTGTAGTTTTGTGCCTCTTTCAGTGACATTTTACCACTGAAGCTCAGGTGGCGCATGACCATCCCATTTGTTCAGTGATTTATCTGTGATCCGAATATTATCAAGGAACACTAATATGTACTGTCAAATAATTGTTAGTCTTTCAGTCAAGCTCTTTAATCTCTGTTGTGGCAAAGATGAATGACTTGTTTAAAACTATGTTCAAATGGTGCCGGTTCCTGTCATCTTAAAGCTAGCTCAGCCTCAGCCACGCCTCACTATTATTGCTAGCTTTTTTCAGCAGCGTGCGTGTGCGTGTGTGTGTGTTGGCAGGGTGTGGCGTGTAGAGCGTCTGGTGATAATAGCCGGGCGAGTGTTGGAAGGCAGGTATTACAGGGCTGTGTTGGGGGGGGTGAGGGAGCCTATTTGTGAGGTGGGGCTGCACTCCCATTTATATAACTGCCGAGGAAGAGAGGCATTTGCTCACCCACACACATTTGGGTTTTCTGCATCAGTCGAGTTTACAGTAAGCCTCACACACACGTGGCACAGTGTGCAGCAGAAACTGTAATGAGTAACTCTTTGTCTCTGCAGGGGTTTGTCCTGTGTCACTCCATCGCTGGGGGGACGGGCTCCGGGCTGGGGTCCTATCTGCTGGAGAAACTCAACGACAGGTCAGCAAACAGACACACAGAAAACTATTTCATTTAGCCAAAACGCATTTCTTGTAAGTGTGTGTGCATAATATCTATTTTCTGATCCCCAGGTACCCCAAGAAGCTGGTGCAGACTTACTCTGTTTTCCCCAACCAGGACGAGATGAGCGACGTGGTCGTTCAGCCGTACAACTCGCTGCTCACGCTGAAGAGGCTCACGCAGAACGCAGACTGCGTGGTGAGCAGAGGAGCTACTGAATGAGAGTTGATTAATCCCACTGCGCTGTTTGCTTTAAAACGCTGCCATGGATCTACATAACCTCACAAGATGGCTAAAAACAAATTATTTGTATTCAGGCCCCGGTAAGCTTGTAATTGTGTCACCCTGGCAAACCAAATTTGACTTAAAACATGGTAGCTAAACTGTTCCACTAGCAATGAGCTGGAACAGGAAACTTAAAAATAACTAAAAAAGTGCCAGAAAAATGACGAAGTGATGTCAGACTGTTAAATACATTTGGCCTTGTGTGTTCTGACGTAAACGTTGAAAGGTCAAAAAGCAGCAAGCTGTGAAGACATCAAAGACGAATGACATCCTACATGAATACATTCCCAATGCCATAATTCATCCCTGAAAAAAATACAGTACACTGGAGTAGTTTTTGCTGCGTTTAATGTTGTTTAAGAGATTTAAAAGTTAGGTACCACTTTACAATAAGACTACCCTTATAAAGGGTTTATAATTAGGTTATGAATTAGGTTGTACACACTTTATTAATCATTAAGAACCATTTATAAACCAGTTCTAACATAGTTTTCATACATCAACACAGGCTCACTATTTGGCACGATGACTAAGCCTTATATTGGCTACTTAGCGAGAATCAACTCAGTGAGCAACAGACACCAAGGATGCTGGCTGATGAAGAAGACGAAGTAAGCTAAGTAGCCAATATAAGGCTTTGCAGTACAGATACATGTGGGCTCACTATTTGGCAAGCAACCGGTCACAGTCGCCCTGTTTATCTCATGTCTAAAAGCTTATTCATGATTTATAAAGTGTTCACAACCCAATTAATAAATGAATTACAAACTATTCGTAAACCCTTTATAAGGGTCGTCTTATTGTAAAGTGCTACCAAAAGTTACACCCCAAAAAGAAATCACAAATATGGAGAAAGGTTGTAACATCCCTCTCTGTGTGTTGCTTTAGGATAATGAATTGGCTTCTATTAATATAAACTTGAAGTTACATTTCCACTAGTCCATTTCCAAAGCAGCTGACATAAGTTAATGTTGTCATTCCCCCTCATGTCTGTCTAAAATCTCACTTTCTTCGAATGTGCAGCACACTAATAAAGAAGGGAACTGCAGCGCCAGCAATCAAACTTAATAAACCTCAGTCTTAAATTGTTGATTGTATTAGTCTGCGATGCTCTAACAGCTTAATGGTGTTTCCTCTGTAATACCTACTTCCTGCGGGGGTCTTGCATAAGGCCCTCATGGTGATTCAATTAGCCGGAGAGCTAATAGAATCTGCCTAAGAATCGCTCCCCCTGTTGCAAACGCACAGAGTGTCTTTTATGTCCAGCTCTGCCCCCAACAACAGTGCACTGTGCTGCTCCTTAACACTCATTAACGTCTTACTCTTTCTAACATCCTGGCTGTGTGTTGGCCGTCACTGTGTTGTTGTGCTGGAGGGAATCTCTCCTCATTTCTCTGTGTGTTGTAAATCAGGTGGTGTTGGATAACACGGCTCTAAATCGCATCGCCACAGACCGCCTGCACATCCAGAACCCGTCCTTCTCCCAGATCAATCAGCTGGTGAGTGAGAGGCGTCACCCAGAGCAACCACCTCCAGGGGTTTTCTCACGTGTCAGTCAGCAGGTCTTAGTTCTACTTCTAGACTACCTGACTGTACTCAAACAAAGGCAAAACGTCGAGACAGGCTGTACCAGACGCATGTCGCTCACTTAAAAAAATTACAAGATTCACAAACTAGTTTGGCGAGTCCGTTGCACGTCAGACTGGATTTCTGCTTTCTTGGAAATGAGTTGCACATGGCTGCTTTTACCTAATGGTATCAGCGTGCTCGACAGGAGCCACATTTAGAATTTAGGCTGCTCTCCTTTTATGACGAGTGAATTTGGCCAAGAAAGGAAATAATGTAACCTTTTCAAGTTTTTATTGGATTATCTTTCCTGCAAAAGGCAATTTGACAATGGAATTGTACACATTGTGCAGAATTAATAAATGAATGTGATATGCCTAGCTCTAGTTCATTAATTTGTAAGATCTTACCAGATATAATTGATTTCAAGCTATGTGTGTAATAAACTCTTCACACACAGGTTTCCACCATCATGTCTGCAAGCACAACCACCCTGCGTTACCCGGGCTACATGAACAACGACCTGATTGGCCTGATCGCATCTCTCATCCCCACGCCCCGCCTCCACTTCCTCATGACTGGCTACACACCTCTTACTACTGACCAGTCGGTGAGTTTGGAGTGGCGCAGAAAGTTACATTTAAAGGGGCATTGAAACCTGCTTACAGTTAATATATTAAAAGTGCTTAGTTAATGCTAAATGTCCTTAAGATGTAGACTTTCTAAATCCGTAAATGCACTGTGCTTCAGGTTGCTAGTGTGAGGAAGACCACAGTGCTGGATGTGATGAGGAGGCTTCTGCAACCCAAGAACGTCATGGTGTCCACGGGGAGAGAGAAGCAGCCGAACCACTGCTACATCGCCATCCTGAACATCATCCAGGGCGAGGTCGACCCCACACAGGTACACATGCACACATATACCAATCAGGTTAGCAGTTATTAGATAAAAGCTTGAAATGTGAAGAAAAACAGCTGTGTACATTCCTTGTATGTATATATTCTTGTCAATTCCACATAGTTTAGCAACTTTGGGGAGTATTTATATATATATATCCTTTATTTAACCAGGTAAAAGTCTCATTGAGATTCAAATCTGTTTTTAAAGAGCGACCTGGCCAATAAGGCAGCATGAACAATGTTACGACAAATGAACACAAAACAATACAGGCAGACGAATACAGCTGTCGTAAAACACAAATGAAATGGCACATTAACCGGTCAAAATAAACTGTGGTGAAACATAAAAAACTGGCAAAATGTTAAAACGACAAGCAATCACATCGACCAATGGTGTCTTGTTCTCTGTCCTTTAAGATGGACTTAAACTCCCCCATAGTGATCCAATCTGAGAGTTTCAGCTCCTTCTGAACATTGTTCAGGGGCAGCATCTTTAAAAGCTTTTTTACCCAGGTCTGTTCTCTCTTTAGGAACCAGCATCTGAATCAAATCTTTATACAAATCTTTTATATTTGATATTGTTGCATCGATTCAGTTGTCTTATCTGTCAGAGAGAAACCACTATTTATTTTATTTGTATTATCATACATTTGACCTCCTTATGTCTATTACCCTGATAACATGTTATATTTTGCTGCATGTACCTTTAAAGTTCTTAACAAATAATCTGAGGGGAATTTCTTGTTTGTTTTTAACTTGTGATGTGTCATTTTGTAAAGCACTTTGAGAAGTATGAAAAGTGCTATATAAATAAAGCTTTATTATTATCTTGGGAGCGCAGGCCATATAGACTTTTTTTTGTACACATATATGTGCAAATATAAGAGGGAACCAGCCCAAGGAGAGATTTATATGTAAAACCCAACCAATGGGAAAAGAGACAAAGATGGCCGATTAGCAGCAGCATACAAAGTGCAGTGGTGTACACGATATCCACATCCAGTAACAAAACGTAATGCACAATGGTACACAATATGTCAACTGTTCATACTACCGTAGGTGCATAAAAGCCTCCAACGGATCCGGGAGCGTAAGCTGGCCAGCTTCATCCCCTGGGGCCCCGCCAGCATCCAGGTGGCTCTGTCCAGGAAGTCCCCGTACCTGCCCTCTGCCCACAGGGTCAGCGGCCTGATGATGGCCAACCACACAAGCATCGCCTCGGTAAGTGCTCAGCCTGCTCCGCTACATTCTGCTGCAGTGTGTGTTCCTGCAGTCTAGACCTGAGCTGTGAGTCAGGGCTGCAGGCCGCCATTGTCCTAAAACTGAAGCTACGAGACCACAGCAGCAGTTAGAGGGGAGTTCCATAAGAATTAGGTTTTGGATTGTCATGCTGTGAAATTCCTTGAAACTATAGATGGTTTTTTTCCTGGTTTAAAACATGATTTGTAAAGTTTAGTTTATTTATAAAGAAAGCCTTTAAGGACAGTTTGATTTCCAAGCCAAAATGAAGCTCTTTCCCAATTTCCTTTTAGTCTTTAAATGTAATCATATATTTCAATTTCCATTCAGTGTACATAAAAGTAAAAAAAAAAGTATCAATGGTTTAGAGAAGTCAGAATAAGTTCCTGAAACTTTCCAGGTATTAGTTTTGGTTTTGATTTCCTGTGTTTCTGTCCCACAGCTGTTTGAGCGGACGTGCAAGCAGTACGACAAACTGCGTAAGCGAGAAGCCTTCCTGGAGCAGTTCCGCAAAGAGGACATATTCAAGGAGAACTTTGACGAGCTGGACAACTCTCGGGAAGTGGTCCAGCAGCTGATAGACGAGTACCACGCAGCCACGAGGCCCGACTACATCTCCTGGGGCGCGCAAGAGCAGTGAACGGACTGACTTGAATCTCTGAAATACCATAGTTGATTAGCTCATTTCTTCTCATTTCTTCTCTTTTCAAACATGTTCTCCTACATATAGGTGTCCCTAAAGAGACAGATATTTGGCTATAGTTGCATCTCTGAAATACATATTTATTGGCTTGTTATAGCAGTAAATATAATGTTTCTGTATCAAAATGTAAACAAGAAAACGAGTGGAAACAGCCACTGTAATTATATTAACCAAAAAGTAAAATCACCTTTTCTGAGCTGGATCACATCCTGGAGATTCTTAAACCTAGTTGAAATATAATAATCCTTGCCAACAGTCCAGTGAAGTGAAAGTCAACACTCATTTCTTACAAGTATGTGCAGAAAACATTGATATGTCTTGTATAAAATGATCTATAACCGTCTGTTAATAGTTTTTTCCGTTTTCCTTATACTCATATTTCCCGCCTTGTAGCCTATTTGGTTTTCAGCATTGCAAGAACATGTGTTGCCTTGCTTTGGTCTATTTTTATACTGAATACAGTATTTTGTGCAGTTGAGTTACAGTAAAACTACCACCCCACACAAAATGATTGCCTTGAATACTGACAGTACGGTTGACAGAATATGTTGCATGATGGGTAACGCAGGTTCTTGCATCCCAGACATTTCTGTCATCGGGCCGTCATCTGTTTGCTGCTGATACACATTGATCTTTTTTTACTGCTGTACAAAACCAACATCAAGTCAAGTTGGGCTTGAGCCAAAAATGTTAAAATACATGCTATAAATTAAATGGCTTTGACATTTTAACAGCATTGGCCGAGTACAATTTGCACAGACGAACATAGTGTACAACAATGGATTTCATTTCATCACTTCATCTCCATGCTTGTATATATGCTTCAAAGAATAGCTCATCACTGACATTCTCTGTATTGTCTTAAATGAATATACCGTTTCATGTTGCTTTGCTTGTTGGACCTGTTTGAAATGGTTAATAAAACACGTTTTGTATTATTTTGTATTTTGTATTTGAAATGTTTCTAGTGGTATATGAAGCAAACTGGGAATGTTTTATGTTAAAGAGACTTCAGGGTTTCCCCTTTCCTGTAGTGTGGTATATAGGTTTTAGTGCATGTAAATGGTCTGCAAAGTCTACATTTCCCTATGTTCCCTCCCTCCAAACTCCCCCCCCCCCCCGGCCTGAAAAGCCTCGATTTGACTCCTTTGTCTACTTATTTAACATGACATCACTATGTAACATTTGCACTTCTATTGGCCAGAGCTTCAACTCATTTTGCGTGACATGCTAAGGGAAGGGACATCTCCAGACAGTCGACCAATCGCAACAGAGCCACCCAGCTAACCAATCAGAGCAGACTGGGCTCTGGTTTCAGACGGAGGGTGAAAAGAGGTGCTGCAGCACAGGCAGTATGAGACAAATAAAGAGCTTTTTGAACATTAAAGCATGTCACAGAGGCACAAAATACAAATAGGAACCTGAATGAGCATAATAATAATAGTGCCCCTTTAAGGGTTGGTTTTGCTTCCTAGCTACACAATGATGAAACGCTTTTCCTCTCACCTGGAGCTGCAGTGTACTTGTGGCCGTTCATCTCCCTCAGTTAAGGCTCATTACCACACGGGAACGTAAAGGCACTTAGCAACCATTGCCTGACCGACCATTGTTTTTGACCAGAATAACTCCGGGGGAGGCAGCTCTCTGCTCTGCTGCTGGCTTTTTATAAAACGTCTGGTTGAGAACAATAGTCTTACACTGCTTTGCTAGTCAAGGCTAAAGAAAGCACATTTTTTTTAAAGGAAAAAGGAAATGAGTGCTCAAGTTGAACAACAGAACCAAACATTAAATATGGTAAAATGGTGCTGTTTTATTAATTACATACAGTATTTATAGTTTTTATTGCACTTCCAAGCTAGTTAAAAACAGACAATAGTGCATTTAACTATACACACACACACATCACATAAAAAAGGTACCATGCAGCATACAAACAAGCTTAATACAAAGCAACAACATCCGCACTTTGATTTGTTTTATTTTCATTCTTGTAGCTTGGAGCTGCCTGCAGCTGCGGTAGAAAAAGAGCTGCCTCTGAGCGGGAGGCGGGCTGACTGTGCAACGACTCGTCAAGGCCTTTCATGGTGAGGGGATTCAACTTTTGAGGCTGGTTATTACATGGGGTTGTGTTGAAGACAGAACTCTAAAATTATATTTACAAAGCCTATCTATGGTCTCGGATTCTTAAAAGGTTATTACTACATTAAAAATAAAGTGGACAATGTATACAACAGGATGTCTCTATATTTGTTTGACATTCAAGTTTAGAGAAAAAATTATAAATGGGAAAACAGTCAAATATAAATCAGGGGATCTTTATCTGCTTTGGGAAACATTTCTTGTTATAAAAGCTTATTTAAAAAAATAACATCTTTGGTCCATGCTCTAACCCAGGACTGGTCAAACTTTGGCTTCACAAGAATACTCCAACAATGAACACAAAGACGGAGCTACACAGGATTTACACCTCTGAACTGCTTTAAGGAGCAGAACCAAAAGCACCTTTAGGCTACAAAAGAAAAACTGGGTCTGCATTTAAGACATAAAGAACGGTAAAAAAAAAGTTGCATAAATAATACTACAGAAGCATCCATGGCCTGATTAAAAAAAATGTTTTTGCTTAAATAGTTGGGGACGGATGGGAACTTCAAGGTAAATATGGCATCACTTCTTAAATGATCCAGATCTCTGACTAGGGGTTTTATGTGTCCTCTAAGTTTAGATTCTCCCATTATATATACACATTGTGAACATAAAGAGAAGCACCTGTTATTTTCAGCAGAGTAGAGCTGCATTAGGATAGTAACTGACATGAGCTAAATTATTCAATCAGTCAAGTGTTAACCAAGTTTCGTGTCGAGGATTACAGCCAAGACAAGCAGCACAACAAAGGACACATGAGAGCATTTTGGTGGAAACAATGTAGAAACAGCTCCAAAACCTTTGGTTTCTGTGAGAAACTCAGACCCTGAATGGGAAATCCAGGAAATGGTTTTCTTGATCAAACACACAAACGGAGACACACACTGATAATCCCGTGGGTAAGAGTCTATATGGCGATCGCAGCCCGAGTGACTTAGCCAGAGTTCAACATCTGTTTCCAGTTCCAAGTTCACATGGCTGACTGCATCAACAGTTCCAGGTAATGCAAACCCAGCCGGGACCTTAGGAAAACTGACTGCCTCTGAAGAACATGTCAGCATAAGGGCACGTGAGGGAGAAACTGTGTGTGTGTGTGTGTGTGTGTGTGTGTGAAAAAGCTAGAGCCAAGGCGGGAGGGCGTGTGTGTGTCACTGAATGTTCTCAACACTTTTCCAGCAGTGCACGAGGGACGACTGCCTTCTAGGAAAGGCAATATGAATATGGCACACATTGAAAGTAAGAAGAGCTAAGGAGCTGCGATTTCACTCTCAGCCATACCTTCACGAGGGAGTACCACAGTTCATTGATGTCATAACTCTTGTGATGCTGTGTCTCCCCGATATAAAGGGCTCACGCTAACGTCTCACATTGTCGAGGGGTGGGGTGTCGCCATGTAGGGTAACAAGGGTGGTTGCGTGACAGGATGGGGTGGAGGGTGTTTGACAGCTCATCAGCAACCGCATTGGTTTCTGTGGGTTTCTGGCCTCACTTGCAAAACAGAACCCCCTTGCCTTCCCGCCTTCCCGCCTTCCCGCCTTCCCGCCCCCCCCATCGGCCAGCTCCTTCAGCTGGAAAGCTCAGCAAGGGTTTATTTTCACGGATGGGGAGTGAAAACAGCCCTCTCTTTGTTTTGGCTGCCGTGCCGTTCCCAGTGGAGGAGGCGTGGTGTCCTGAGGACTGGGGCAGGGCCTCATAGGGGCCACGTGGAGGAGGAGTGTGGGGTGGTTATGGGTGTCCGGGTATGGGTCCCTCTCAGACTGGGTGCGAGGGCAGCTCCAGGAGGGTGGGTGTGTGTGTTGAGGCCAGGTGACAGAAGCCCACCTCTGTACATTCTGTTTTGGTGATGTCTGCATCTTCCCCCTTCCCTCGCTGGCGACGGATGGCACTGAAATACGCATTCATCAGCTGCATGATCTCAGTCAGCTGTGACAGAGGGAGGGAGAGAGAGAGAGGTCAGATCATTGGCAGTCTCAGTGGCGCTGTCACAGGAGGGTGGAGACGGATGATGTCATACATTTGAAAAATAAAATAGAAAAAAAAAGTTTCCTAAAAGCAGAGGATGATTTTTTGTGAAGATTTTGGAGAACACAGAGAACCCCCTTGATCAGAAAATGGAGGCCTTAAATGTGTGTGCACATTGTATCACTGACACATTTTATTATGCAGCTGTTGCAGAAAAAAGAAAGGGCACTTCCCTCTCTCAGTTTTCCTGACCTTGGTGGACATGACCACCAAACCATCACAAGCCACCATGACCAATACCCTTACTTTGCTCCTGCTAATGCTTGCCTAAACATGGTGTGTGACAACACCGACTAAAACAGTCTCCGGGTTTGAACCTACACCTACTTTTTAACTTTTACTGTAACCCATGAATGAGCAGCTAATCTCGCCCTCACCCTTTACTCCAGGCCAAACCATAATAACCCCCTGCAAATCCATTTCACTTGCTCAGTAGCTCAAATATATGGTACATTTATGTGAGAGCAATATGAGGCCTCACCTTCATAAAAATATGAGCCTTACTGGGCTCTGCTTCAAATCGCCTGTGCATCGCATAAATAAAAGCCACTTTTGTGCCCATGAGAGATCACAGAGGGATTTTTTGTTCCGAGTGGGAAGATGAGGGCAAATCTGCCCTGTGAAAGGCAAGATTTGTTCTCTAGTGAAAAAAAAGTCTGCTTGGAAGAACATCCATGTTTCTGAGAAAGGTTGGCTAATATTTTAATCTGACCACTGTAATAAAACTCCCCCCCCAGTTGCCCTTTAAAACCAGGAAGTTGGACTTTTGGTGGTAAGCATTGGCTGGAGACCAGGGGCAAGTTGTGTGCTCTCTATTTAGACCAAATTAATGAGTGTTTTTAAAGTGGGTCATAGAGCTGGAGGGAGGGGAGTTTCATGAGCAGACAGCGTGCTTCTTTCTCTTGCTCTGCAGAACACTGCACGGTGATAAGGCCAATTGGCCGTGCACCGTCCAAAAACGAAATCCTGCCGTGGAGATATATTGTTTCTAAGCTTGGTGGAAACACAGCTCGAATAATAATACATTTTACTGACGTCAACCCGGTGCTTGAGGATAGACTGTATAAGAAATCAATGCATTCAACTTGACGTCACCCATTGGTTTATGGACTATGATTTTGAAGCCTCAAGTTTGGCATTTTGGACGTTTCAATATTTCAGTTCTAAATTCTAAAATGCAAACATGGAGAGCAACTAAACCAGAAACATATTGGTAATGATCCATCAATCACAAATGATTTGTTGAAAAAGACGAAAACATGCAAATAAGACTATGAACTCATTAGGAAAATGATTACTGAGTTAATAAATCAAATGAAGTCAGGTCATTTCTCATAGAATTCTATACAATCAGACTTTCTTTTGCAAACAGTGGAGTCGCCTCTGGCTAGTCATTAGAGAAAAGGCAGGTTTAAGGCACTTCTGCATTGGGTCACTTTTCACACATGAATGTTGCCACTTTGGCACGAGTCACGATACCTTGGTGGTTTCAAACATCAGATCCCGATCCCCAGCTGTGATTTTGAAGGTGTTGCTGTCAGATACCCCGTAGGAACAGATCTGGCCGTAGGGGAAGGACTCCAGGGCCTCTGCCTCTCCCTGTCGATACAGAGACACGGATGTAGCGGCTACACCCAGCCACAACTTCTGGGAAAAACTCCCTGTCGAACTCTGGAGGGAGGAAGAGATAAGCAGATGTTTGAACAGTTCACAGTTATCCTTAAATGTACCTCAAGAGGCCAAGTGACTGTCAAACATTGCGAGAGCTCAAGAGACCCAACAGTACTCACAATATAAAAATCCACTTCATAAAGAGTGCATCCAAAGCCCGACCACTGGCGTGCAATAGTGAGGTAGGCAGCGATACTGTCCCTGCGGCTGTAGCCAGCCAGGCCTTTCCAACGCTCCAAGATGGACGCCATGACGGCCGCTGCCTCCTCCTTCAGCCGGCTTCGCAGACGCATGTCCTGCTCCACCTTCTGCTTGTGCGCTGCTGTAGCCGTGTGGCTCCACAGCGTCCCTGCCAGGAGGCCCGTGTGGAAGCGCTGCGTCGTGGGGCAGCCCTGATCCGCCACCTGACAAGGAGGCAGGGCCGGGTGTGCAGAAAGGGACATGAGGACCTGATCTTCTAGTACATGACCTGGGAACAGCTCGTCCAGAGGTGGGCAGGGGGCATGTGTACTGAAGTCCCCCATCAGACACTGAAGCCTCAATGAAGCCAAGACCTGAAGGTCCTCTTCACAGGCCGGCAGCTGGCCGCGCACCACCATCTCATGGCACTGCAGCGCAAAAGGCCAAAGCGAGGACAAACAGGGCGAGAAGAAAAAGGAGGAAAAGAAGGCACAATTTGTCAGTAATAGCCTTACTCCTGCCATCAATCCCTTTCTACCCCACCCTGTTTTATTTTCTCCCATAACTCTTTTATGGGAGTCCTCAGGAAAAATGTTCTAATGAAGCCAGTGCTGGCTGCATTTGGCCCCCTTTGCATCATAGCCAGTGCTCTTAGTCATGCTTTTTATGCACTGTGCTTTATCGCAATCACAGCCCATAATACATTAATGATTGTTAAGTAAAAACATAACAGTCCAATGAAAAAAGAGGAATGACTCGCAGCAGGAATGTAAATGAAATCTCACTATCAGGACGGAAAAGGACAATCATAGCAAAGGCACTCTCAAAGGAGGACTATGCCCTTTGTGGAGTTGTGTTCTGCTCCATTACCTGCTCAAAGAGGAAGAGATACTCAATGCTGTCCACTGATATGCTGTCAGCATCCAACAGGCAGTAGAGCTTGAAACACAGTTTCCATTGGGCTTTAGACTCTGACTCTTTGGTTGACAGGCTGCAGAGAAGGGGGACAGAGAGCGTTAGAAAGGGAACACGCACACTTTTTTTCTTTACAAATGGTATACTAAAAATGTAAAACCATGTTAATATGTTACAAGAAATTGGCTCCTCAATATGTAATAATGTTGTTAAGTAACTTGGCGGTTACCCTGTTTACCCTCAGCACTGTGAGGACACAGATGTCCACACATGTTAAAAAAGCAGGTTCCTTGTCATTCCAGCTGGAATCCTTATCATTTAGTTTGAGACTTTGCCTTGCCTTGTACAACCAAATGACATCAGCTTCACCTCAACTAAGCAGCGACTGGCTGGCTTTGCTGACAGAAATAGTGACATCAGTCCAGTTTCCCAGCAGGGTGTCATGTTTGACCAACAAGACCAGACAAGGTCACCAGTTATCAAGGATACTGGATAACGTTCAGCATGGGCTAGCGAAGATAAATATACAATCTACAGCTCTGTTTGCGTTCTTCTAACAAGTGACACATAGCTCAGATTCCTGCCAGACTTAGACAAGGTGTTTTGATAGCGTGTCTGTCTGCTTGGCTTTTTATTGTGTCTGACTTCCTCTCTGGGTTTGTCTGTTCTATTTAACAGTGTGAAGACGGAGATTTATTCTTCAAACCTGGTCAGGATGTCTGCGATCAGAGCGCCGCCTGGAACTGGCTGCTCCCACAGTGCATTCTGCTCGTACAGTGCAAACGTGTTTTTGGTGTCCTGCAGGCCGAGCTTCTCCTGCATCCTTCGAACAACCTGATCAACGGGAGTAGGTTGAAAGAAAAGACGGACACACAAAGGGTTTCACATTTTAAGAGTATAAACAGGAGACGCAAATGCAATTTATGTTTTTAATGATTTAGTTATGTCACAAGACTCAATATTAGGCTATAAAGTAGAATACAGATGAAAGCGCTAACCTCATTAGCGGTAGTGTGTGAGCTGATGTAGAGCTGGCAGGATAGAGGGCCAGGATAGTGCACAGTGCACAGCATCTCCTGTCGGCTCATCAGCACCTGGATCTCCTCCCAGGATGGCACAGACTCTCGACACTTGGTCTTCTCCAGAGCCTCGCTGATGAATGACGCATAGTTATCCATCTCAGACTCAGGGTTCTGGCTCTGGATCCTGCGAAGAAAGAGTGAGAGTGAGATGGGGGGGATATGTGCCATGTGTGTGGAAGCCCATTTAAAATGTGTAGATATTTGCCGGCAACATTGAAATGTTCAATACCTAAAAAGGGAAAACTTGTTATTGCACGTGATGTAAACAGTGATTCAAAGTCTGTAAAGCATTATGCTGTGATTATGGACTTTGCGTCATCCTTTCGATTCAAATTCCAAGTTCTTTATTTTCCTTGGGCTGGCAATGCTCGAAAGTCAATGAGGCGAGGAATGACAAATGTTCTCACTTTAGCTCTTAGGGACTTAAAGACTCAACATCCCTCAATCCTTCAAAGAAAAGGAAAATGGCAAAGAAAACATGTTTGACTTTGGGTAACGCACGAAACAGGAAAAGGTGTTTCCGCTCCTCTGAACCCGAGTGACCTGCCACTTCCTCCCAGCGGAGTGTCCAGGAGCAGTAGGTAAGTGTGTGTGCTGTTGTTTTAAAAGAGGGGACACAAACCCAGCAGACAACACACTCTAACTGGAGCCTGACGTCTAACACACTGAGTGTGAAAGGTGTGAAACACTACCTGATGGAGTTATGAGCTCAGCCCTGTGTAAACAAAAGGGAAATAGGAAGGAAACAATTATACTGCGACGGTCGTCCCAAAACACACAAAACGGAGGACAGAGAGAGGGGCGCAAGAAGGCCTCAAATATTCTGCCAGACAGAGAGGCCCTCTCATTCCCTCAAATGTCTTTCTCTCTCATAAATATATGGCCACAGGGTGGGATTTGTCCTGCTGAAACATAATTAGGAATGTTCCACTGAGCCTGTGTGATCCTTCCTCTCCTGTCTTCACCCCTCTCTGCTTTTTCCTCCTTTCTCCCACCCCCCCCCAACCCCCTTCCTCCTCTGCTTTCTTTCTTCTGGCCTCTTCTCTCTGACAGCGGACATTCCCTGGGGGTTTCTCAGGGCACTAGGAGAGTGGAGGAGGGTTTCTGGGCCCACTTCCCAGCTCCAGCTTGAGCTCTGCCCAGCTGCAGCCTCAGCACAAATCCACAGTGTGTGAGAGAGTGCGTGAGAGCGATGGCAATACGAATCAAAACACACAAGCAGCGTTATTATGAACCGCCATTGCATGCAACTGATCCATTAGCTACAGGCTGACTCCCAGCACGTACATATAGATAGAAAACTGTAGCGGTTTGATGGTATGTTGTTAGACAGAAAATCTGAAGCAGGAGATTAGCACTCCTAATAACTTAGATTAACATGCTCGACAGAGGGCTAATTCAGACCTGTAAATCCAGCCTTTAAACACTGGATCTGTCTGGGGGAACATACTAACAATGTGAAGGCATATCACGCTACTATATCTAAACTGGTGGTTTGCATTGCTGGCGCCTGCTTTTTGTCCACTGTCTAGACCTCATGTTTTCCCTGCTACTGCACACTACCAGTTAACCTTTATCTCCCATCATTCAACCTGTTCTTCCTTATAATCGGCAACTGACTCCTGGTATTATGTGTTATTCTTATGCGACTGCATCTTGTTGCACAACTTCCGTTCACATTTGACTTAGATCACGTCTAAGGTCAAATTCTATTCATGAGTATAAAAAAAACCCTGCATATTTACATGTTTAAATTACATTACATGTCAACAGAAGGATTACTGTAGTTGATTCGTACAAATGAAAGCCAGCAAAAACAAGAACATTTTCCATCTGTAACTACAAGGAAATTATGTGAGCAACTCTATTCAGTCAGAATAATTGTACCTGAATTCAAATATATATATATTTATACACACATACACCCTCACTATACTTTTGTGTTGCTCACCTCTTGAGGTGGAATCGCAGGTACTTGAGCACGTTGGGCCCAGGCAGGAAGGTGCAGCTCATGCAGGTGAGAAGCTGCCAGTAGCGCAGGTGTGCTGCAGTGTATGGGGCAGGGGTGTAGCTGGTCTGCTTCACTAGCTGGCAGTAGACCTCGTCTCGGAGAGGTCGTAGGTCCAGGCAGGTCTGCAGCACGCCCTGGATGATGGGAACCGGCTCCCGTGCCGACTCTAGCTGCTGCAGGCAGTTAAAGAGTTTCACAGCCTCTTCACGTACCGAGCCGTAGCCTTTCCCGCTGTGGTCTGGAGAGAGGAAGAGGAGCAGAAGAATCGTGTATTGCTTTGATACATTTTTCTCAATTATTTTACTTCTTCAAGATATCTGTATGAGGATGATTTTGTCATTTAGACTTCAAATAGTTGCATACAGTGTCTTTTTGTTCTGGGTTGAGCCTTGGTTTGCACTTAGTTGCATTGTGTTAAATGCTGCCTCTCAGCAATTCTACCAGAGCAGAGATAACACTTTCTTCCAATTAGCAATAAAGTCCTTGAGCAGTGTGTTCAGAAAATAGAATGCACATACAGGCTTGAGTGGTCAGTTTCGGTTGGAAAGCATAAAATAACTGTTAATATAGTAAAGATAACAGCTCGATAAACACTCAGGAAGTGTAGATCTGAACCTACTAGATCCAACTTAAAATCATATCAGCACTTTGTATTATGTGCAAATTATGTTTATCATTCTTATCATTTTTACCCGCAACTTCAGACACTGTTGCTATGATAATGTATGACGTGAACATGTCAACTACTTACACATATGCTCCAGGCTGCCGTAAGGAAAGGGCAGCAGAGGAGCGTACAGGGGGCCCTGAGTGTACTTCAGGATGGGATTGTGCAGGTAGATGTGCTCCACTACCTCTGGGTGGAACTTATTCTCCTAGTGCAAACAAGTGAAAAACAATTGTCACAATAATGTCCACACACACACAGAAAATAACACACAAGTTCATCTGCCTTTAATATGCCTGCAGCCGACCTGGAAGCAAGTCAGCGAGTGGGTGATTGAGTATGTGTGTTTGTCTGCGAGAGGTGACCAGGGTCGATTCGACCAGGGTCACAATTCAGCTCTGGCAACTTTCAAAGCAGCAAGAAGGTCAAGTGATGACCCAGCAAACCACACTAGCATGACTGAAAGGTTATATGTTATCGACTGGTGTCAATGGGTTTAGTGTGCGTGTGTTTGTCTCTTCCCCTGCCTATGTGGATAGATGCCTTCCAGCAGTACAGATGGCTCCCATGCTACTGCCCTCTAGCACCTGTTGCTCATTAGTAACTTTGCCACTGCTCTCTCCTGCCTCTGCAACCCCCTCAAACCAGCCACTGTTTCTCTCTGGCTACAAGACAAGCCCGCTTTCCCCCCTCCTTAGTGGGGCAAAGTTGACGCATTCTTCAACGGTGTTTGGTGCCCACTAGTGCAAATGCTGGAATAAGATGCTGCTGTGTGGATCACATACATAAGGTCAGAGCATCCCAGATGAAATTCATACACTGTACATGCACCGTTGGTGTTTCCCTGACATATCCAGCAGTTGGACATTTTGGAAAATGCATATATTCTCTTTATTGCCAAAAGCTATGAGGGGATTGAAAGCAGTTTCAAGTCTGCACAGTAGATATGAAGCTGTAGCCTTACTTAGCATAACACTAGCACTAAGACTGGTAATGGGGAAGTGAATTCCTGGAGTCTCTGAATGTTGCTTGACCAGCTTTTCAATAAATAGTTTGACACATAACCTTCAATTTGAGTTGAAGTTTTCATTATTTTGTAAAGAATGGACCAAAACAACAACATGTTAATAAGGGGGCTGCTGTGGCAGTTTTGTTGAATATGGGCAGAGTCAGACTATCTGTTTCTCTTTCTGCTGCTGGCGATAGTTTTATAATTAAAAATGAACTTTCTTCTCTCAGCATAAAGAGCAAATAAGCAAATTTCCTTCAAATTATAATTCTTGTGTATTACAAGTGGGTACTGTTTCTCAGATTTGTCCATAATTTTTTGCAGTTATGGTAACATTGTGCTTACCAAAGTAATAGCTCAAATCTGGTGATACAGCAACATTGCTCTAATTACAAGGAGGTCAGTGTTAGCAAGACACACAAGCAGTCAGATTATAAAACAGGTTGTAAAAACACCAGGAGTTAAAATAGATTATCTAAACCACTATTCGGAGGTCAAACCAAAACTAAGTAAACTTGAACGGTTACTAATAATCCCTCAGTGCACAGGAAAACTATGTGGTGAGACAACAAAATTATACTTGGTCAGAGTTGTGCTAGGATGTATGTGTGTTAACTGTGATGGATATTTACAGTCAAGGTCATACCTTAACACTATATCTGTCCTTTAAATGGTATGTGTTGAAGATTTTTAGAGCAGGTCAGCCTTCTAATCTAGTCTTCTCTCCTTTTTTCTCTATGGCCTCTGGCTGTAGGTCCAAGGCCAACACGGCAATCCCTGCTTCCCCTTGTGTCTGTGGCAGGAACATAAATCTATGCTTTAAAGATACTATCCTGTTCACACAAAGCCTTTTTTGTTCATTCGTTCTTTGATTTTGCAGTCTTCATCACACAATCGCACGTGGAAAATACCTCACCTCTATGAGAAAGTGGGCCTACTTGTAAAAGTGAGAAAAAGAGAAAGCAGCAGACTGGGACAGGGAAAATGTGAGAGAGAAGAATGAAGAAGAGACTTCAGGGAGGGACATGTGAAACAATGAAGGAGCTCTTTAAAAGCAGGCCCCCTCTACTTCTCCAAAATGTAAGCTTGGCCCCTCCGGGCGAAGCAGACCGGGGCAGACGGAGGCAAGCAGATTAACCACTCTCTTTGAGATTAGAGACTCTCGTTGGGAGATTACGGAGACAGGAGTCCAGGCAAAGGACTGCTTATCTGGCCCTGCTGCTTCATGCTGAGCCCCCCTCCACCTCTTTTGCCCAAACTGCCCCTCTCTTTAACTCGGGGGCAGACTGATGCAAGAACAGTCATCTGTCAATGAGATTCCAGCATGCTGTGTATTTTAGCAGTCTGAAAATATGTTAATGCACTCTCATTCCACATGAAAAAGTGAAGCAAATGTGCATCCTTAAAAATCCCACTGGTCTTTAAAGCATTCAGTAACTGAAAATGTATTTATCTCAACACAACCCCTCTGCCTCAGGTATTTATAGTATGTATTGTCCATGTGTGCTGGAATAGGATGAGATCAGTCAAAATGTTGAGGCAAGCAGAGGAAACTTTGGACTTTTGGCGCAATGAGGCCGTGTGGATTCCATGGTAACAGGGGAGAGGGGGGAAGAGAGGTGTGTGTGTGTGTGTGTGTGTGTGTGTGTGTGTGTGTGTGTGTGTGTGTGTGTGCTACCTCGATGTCTCGAATCAGGAGCTGTGTTGGTGTGTCCACAGGTGCTTTGGTATCAATGATTTTCTGGATGGCACACGCCCAGTGCACGGCCTCGTTGAAGTGCTTGGTGTACAGCTTGTAGCAGTGCTTCCGCCCATATACTGTGATGCTCCAGTGGCCTGGAAGAAACACACAAAAAAGCATTTTAAATAATGGTACTGTGGCCGGGTGATAACGCAATATAATAATTGATCAGCTTCCAATAGAATTGTATCTTGATGAAATCATATATTGAAATATCGTGATAAACACTTTTGTCATACAAATTGGTAAATACAAGCTTGTACTAAATCACATTTCTTTGAAAAGCTGATGTGTAATATCTTAGGGGAATATCATTTGATCACACTTAACATTACCAAACGGTTCAATAGTTAGGGGAATATCATTTGATCACACTTAACATTACCAAACAGTTCAATAGTTAGGGGAATATCATTTGATCACACTTAACATTACCAAACAGTTCAATAGTTAAACAAACTGCTTAAATTTAAATATTTGTTTATATTTGTTCACTTAAACTTTTGATTTATTAAGTATTTACCTAAGACAAGACGTAACAATAATAGGCTTTACCATGTAGTTATTTCATATGGAATTTGTTTTTTTTACTATTCTATATAGTGAAATATATAGAGATGTGAAATGAGGTAGAAGATTTTGGCCATATCGCCCTGACCTGGCACTGGAAATTCAAACTGCACCTCATTGAATGTGTAATTCAAGTAAAGGAATGTGAAATGTTCTCTGCATGGGACACCTCGCGTATCTGCCGTGATTCACTTTCCATGACTTCCTCTCTCGGTTTTACTGAGGATCAAAGGTCAGCCTGAGAGAAACCTCAGTCAACGCCAAAACCAAACAACATCAGTTATTCTACAGATGAGAGGAGAAGGTGAGTTTCCTCCTTGAAGAGAGGAAGTATTAGACATACCCCAGTCAGTCTGGCCTGATCTGCAGCCCCACGGCTGTTATCAGCCTTTCCTGCTACGTGACTTGGCACCACGTCCTTCTTTGTCTAGGTTCTTGGTTAAGCACAAACCCAAAAATAAAAGGTTTAACCACCAAAATGATTACATGGTGGTATTGAAATTGTTTGTTGCCCTTACAATGCCTCTGCTGTTCAGTATCAGGGAAGCCAAAGATGGAACCTTTAAAAAGGGAACTAATATTTCATTGTGACAACCAGAAAATACACAGAGGAAGTACAGTAAATATGTCATGCTTTCTCAGTGGCTTAGAGGGAACATAAAGTAATTCAGTAGGGAAACACTAAATAGAGCGTGTGACAAAGCCACTATTGAAAGAGCACTTCTGTCTGGAAAAGTCCCCTGGCATATTGAGTTAGTAAGAACTATGTTTGAGCTTAGGTTTATACAATGGGTTAAAAATCTTAGGTGGTTTGGGAAAGTCAGCATGACATAATCCACACTAATTTGGAAGAAGGCGACATGTTTGAGTAATACAGAGACGAGAAAAAGGACAAGTCATCCCTCTGTCTCCTCTTTGTTGCTTTCATCCCAGAAAAGGAAGGGAGAGTTCCCCGTTGATTACTCAGAAGTGAGTTTTGTAGACAAACCTTATGCCACAGCTGGGGCTTCCCAAACGTACTCAGAATAACAGCACTTATGGGAAAGGGGACCGCAAGGCTTCACTTAAAACCCTGACAATTTTTTTTTTTACCAAATATGTGTTGGTCACTACAACGAGGAGGAGAATTACCAAAGGTCTTATTAGCCTCTACTCTAGAATACATGGGAGTCAGCTGTGCATCAGTCATCCGGGTGCCCCTCACCTGTTTCCTTGTATGTCTTCTTGTCTGGCCAGATGACGGAGCAGAGGTTGGTGAGGACCAGCGTGCCCAGTCTGCGGGCTCCTTTCTCTTGTCCGCTGTAGTAGTCCAGGGAGTCCTGGCTCAGCACAAACCAGTTCCGGCGCTGCTTGATCCAGTTGCCTCGCACCTCCCGTAACAGCCACCCTTGAAAAAAGAAACAAACATGTATCATTTGAGAGTCAACTTCAAAATGAAGGGACACAGTGGCTTACATGCTAGCAGAACAGCAATGATTAATTAATTAATCCATCAGCAAAATTACAGAAAATGTTACTTTTTTGAAAATAGATCAATAGTTGTTTTTATTTTTAGAACAAAAATGTTTTGGCTCAATTGTTAAAGCTGTTGGCCCATGTACTTCGGCGTTGTCCCCCAAGCTGAAGATCCGGATTCAATTCCTGCTCGGGATCATTTTCAGCATGTCATCTGCTCTGTTCACCAGTTTCAACTCTTTCTCTAAAATAAAAGGCACTTGCCAACTTCCCAAATCTTTAAAGAAATAAACAAGTCAGATATTGTATGGTTCAAAATTCTCTAATATCAGAGTCGGCTGCTGTTTCTTGTATTCTTTTATAGTAAACTAAATACATGTGGGTTTTGTACATTTACACATTGGAATTTGTGATGGACATAACTGTAAAATCAAGTAAATAATTGGTGGATTAATCAACTTTATTGCAGCTCTACATCAGCAGCCTAGATCATTTGCGCTGGATATAGTTGAACATGTTTTAATACTCATGACAAGTAACCCTAACCCAGTTATGGATTTAATGACACAATAAATACTTTTCCCAAAACGATTCATATACAATTTATCCTTATTTCAGTTAACACAATTCAGCCAATGCAATCAGCAAATATAATTTGATGTAATCTACTTCATCATAGTCAGAGAAATGATGTGAACATAAGCTGCACACCAGGACAGGCCTTTCCCCGAAAGGCCTAGGCGGTAGGTGGGCTACTCATATAGCTACTAAACCAGCACAGCCGCACCATGTCTTCACTAAGAATAATCCCCAAGGCATGTAATTGTCCATAAAGTTTGAAGCAGTCTGTATGAGACTGCCTTGTTGGGGTAAATACTAGGGGATAAAAATACAGCCAACTAATGGCATAGGCATTAAAGCCTGCATGCAGCCAACATAATGACCACTTGAGAGGTTGACAGAGTGAGATACGAGGAAAGAGTGAGATTGAGATGCACTGGAACAGAGTGACAGAGAGAGTACAGCAGACATAACTTCATCTCATATGCATGCCCAATGGTCTTGCCAGGCCTGGCTCTACTTTGCTAGACTGTTGTGTTCCCAAAGTGCTGAAGGGTTGGAAAGACGGGATCCACTGTTCTACAGCAGTGGACTCTTTCTGCCCCCTCATCGGCAGGTACAAATTGTCCCTAATAAATATTTTATCTCTGAGTAAATAAATAAACTAGTTTGGCAGAGCTCTGTCCAGATGCCGCCCGTGGAGAATTGACAGAGGTAGGATTGTAGAGTCCTGGTAGGGGGTCATAGTTCATCCAGAGGGCTGATGGAGAGCCTGGCAAAGGGAGGAGGCAGGCCACCTAGACCGATCCTAGGCAGGGTGGGTCTCTATGCGGGGGCCGAACACTGCTTATGCTGGCAGTTTGCCACTTGTGGGCTGGCTGTGCACATGTGTTCATATGGCTTGTGCATGCATATTTAAGAGAGGTTTTAAAGGAACAATTAGGCAATGTACCTTTAGCTTCCTTCCCTGTGAAAACTGCAATGACGCCACGCCAGCATCACAGCTTCCTCTGTGGTTAGCAAGCTGCGTGCCACCTGTCAGACAGCGCTCACTCCGCCTGTTCCTTTCTTCCCTCTGCTCTCACTTACTATTTACTTTCATCTTCACCGTTTCTCTTCTATCCCCGTTCTTTATCCTTGCCTCAAAGCGGTTTTCCCAGGCAGTGCAAAGCCTCAACTGCCTTACTGCTACTCAAAAATAAAAATAAAAAGGGAGGAGGGGGGCAAAGGCTCAGCCTCTCAGGCTATGTTTCCTGTTTAAGAATGCTTCTATATGATATAAGTAGAAGGTCTGAACCCACCATAAACCCACCCAATATAGCCTAAAGCAGAAACCCTGGAGGTACTTAACACCACATCAGAGGGGCACAGCATCTAAATCCAATGTGAAACGGATAAATAAAAAGCATGAGGTAAGTCGGGCTGAGCCTGCTGACAGGCTGGATGTGCAGCGGGGAGACAGACAAGCTGACGAGGGGAGAGACATGGAGAGAAGGGCATGCCTGCTACTTTGATGCCTCAGTCCAGACACAGGACGTCCCACAGATGCTGCTCTTTAAAAACTTTAAACAGGGCGATAAGAACCAGAAAAACAGGAGGGAGACAGAAAGAGGGATACAGAGGAGCAAAGTCCCCTGTACACCCCTCCCCTGGTCTCCCATCTGGATCCAATCTCTGTGGCTTGCTAATGTTTCCCCTGGGGGCCACGGCTCGCCCTTAATTTGTTTCATTTGTGACCCCTGACCCCAAATGCCCTGCCCCCTTCAGACCCAGATTGTTCAAACAATCTCTCTCTGTGTGCATTTCCATTGCTCTACTGCAAACCTCCTATCTTTAGTACTGAACGTTTTTTCCATGATTGTTTAAATGACATTATAATGAAAAATTAACCATGCAAATAAATAAAAAAACACCTCACTTCAAAGTGAAATTATTTTCATTTCTTTCATTCACAAATCTGCGGGCAAATATGCAAACAATGTCTAAAATCATACAGACAGAAATTAGTATTGTATAGCTTTTGCACTTTAAAAATAAGACATTGCATTTTAAATATTTAAATCAGACATAAACTTTACTTTGATGACCAAAAAACTCATAACTAAAAATTGGATCAAACTGACCATGACAAGTTCTGCATAATTTTAGGAGCAGTTTATTTTAACCGGGTCAACAAAGGTATATCAATAAACCACCGTCTTATCATCTCTCTCTGTCACCACTCAATGGCCTTTACAATGCGCCCTCCCATCACAAATCTGCATCCGCAATGTTTGTGTCCTATTTTAGATACGGTGCAATATTAACCCCATGTAGCCTAAGGACGTAACACACTGAACATGGCCTTAATGGAGAAACTGTTGAAAACATATCCTTCTGCAGCACACACAGATAAATGAGAAGGATTACCTCTCGCCCTGAGGTGTTGTGGTGGCTGTAATAGTGTGGTCGGATAGAGGATGAGGGCACGGTCAAAACTCAAATCAAAGAGACAGTGCCCTGGGAAAGTAGACGTTCTGTGTTTTGAAAGAAAACTTTTCTCCTCAAATAGTATGACCAGACATAGAGGGGAGAGCAGTTAGGGAGGGGCACTAGCCAAGGGTGCATAGTAACTGTTGTCAGAATTAGGCCATCTGACTGCCGACATTCTAAACAGGACGTAATTTATCCAAGTGCTGGCATTTACTCTGAGAGTAGCAGGGCAAGAAAATAAATAAAAATAAATAAATAAAAGCACACAAATATCCTATGAGATCATTCCTCAAAAGCATCAGACACCCAAGCCGGTGCTCCTGTTGCCAGGAGCAATCCTTGCGTGATAACAGAGCAGGCGGGGGGGAGAGTAGGAGCAGCTGTGCCACATGTGGCTGTGACATTACTTATCAGGAGATAATTAGGGTACTGAAATATATACTAAACTTACTGAGAACAGCATGATCCTACCCAATTTAATAACTGAAGTGAAAATAGAAAAAAAATGCCAATCTCAATTTCAATTTCCAATGGGATGTTTTTAAATGGGATGATTTGCATATCCAAAATATTCAATTTCAATTTAGATAGAAAGGTAGATAGATACTTTATTGATCCCAATTTGGGAAATTCTTCGTCACAGAAGCAGAAGTGTGTTTTTAGACATTAAAATACAATACTTTAAAAAGTGGAAAAGAGAATTAACAATTAAAAGGAAAACATTTAAATAATATATCAAATATAAACAGAACAATATCAAATATTCTGGATAATTAAAATAAAAAGTCAAAAATACTACAGGATCCAAAATACTACAGGTCTTTTATAAGAAAGGAGAAACTCAAACTATGTAGCAGTGAGTTCTCTGCCAGCCAGAGGTGAGCTGTTGAAAAGTGTTATCGCAGAAGGCAGGAATGTTTTCCTGTACCTCTCTACAGCGGAGCAGTAAGAAAATGTAAATAATGCTTGGATTGAAGAAGCTGGAACCAGTGAATGTTTACCATGTTTGCTTCAAAAAGTAATTGCCAATCAAACAGAGAACATGGCAGGTATTTGCATTCAGTTTAAGGAAGTTCAGTAATGCTGTTTTCATGTGACTTACCTTTGACTAGCAGCTCGGGATCTTCCTCCAGGCCCATCTTATTCTTCTCGATGATCAGGCTCTTCATCTCTTCAGTCCCCTCTGAGACAGTGTGCCTGGGTAGAGGAGCAGAGGAGAATGTAAATAACTCTGGTTCTCTCTCAACTCGAAGTCTTCCCCTGACTACTCCCTCCCATTGGATAGCTAATTAGCCTGCCGAAACACAGTTGGCTGTGAACCCCTCACCCCCCTTCCCCATATGACACTGTGCCAACTACAAGCTTCTATGATACTCTTAGGTGGGGGTCACACATAGGGGACTGGAAGAAGTGCCATGAATATCTGTCCTCCAGCGTTCTCCGAGTTTCCCTCCCTAGCAGCACGCAAGCTCACAAACACACACTGATACATACCACGCCACTGTGGACAGCTCGTCTCTCTTTTAACACTTTGGCCACCGCGCCGACTGAAAATAAACGTGACCGAGCGACGCCGGCCTGACTCGCAGTCAGCCAGCTCACTCCGGTCAGAGAAAGGCAGAAGGTTCAAGAGGTCACAGCCTCAGATAGTTAAAACCAGAACCATCAAAAACATCTGTACATCTAATTATTTATTTTCCTTTTGATTTTATTTCAATATTTTCTAGCATTCGTTGTTATTTAAGGGTGGGTTTTTTCTGTTTTGTATATCGTTTTTTTTGGGGGGGGGGGTTTGGTGATGAAGTTTGTTAAAATTGAACATCATTAAAAAAGATAAGAAAATAAAAACCACATCTGTAAATCCTCAGAAAGTTATGTGCTGCTTCCTGAACATAAAAGGAAGGTTTAACATCTGGTCAGGCAATATTGTGAAAAATTCAGACCTTGTTATCTCATGCCAAGGCCCATTTCAGTCCATTAGATTGTTTGTAGGTTTTATTTTCTGCTTATTTATTTATCTATTAATTATTTGTTTATTTGTTTTATTTCCTTGACCTAACTAGCATGTGAGGCACGGCATGTCAAACCCCTCCTTTCTTCCTGTCCCCCTGCTGGAGTCATTGCTTTCAGGAAATGAATGGAGCCCTCCCTTGGAGGGAAATCTGGCCTCCTGTTACCTTCTCCTTTGCCAGCTGATTTACGTCCTCATTGATCTGATAATTCCGGAAGGTTGCTCCTCACGGAAGTCAGCAAATCAATGAGTCTGAATATAGCCTTATCTGCTTTGACTCAGCTTACATGACTCCAAAGGCCATTTCCTTTCCTTTAGTGTGCGCTGACCTATTCCTGTCTGTACCATGCTTTATCATGTTGACCTCTGTGACATTACCCTCAAATATTGCCTAATACTAGGATTATATTGCAAATATAACTTCAAACACTAAATGTTTGCATTAAGATTAGTTATAATTTCTAAACTGTATCAGGTGCATGTATCATGTATGACTACATGATTTTGACTGAGACAGTTTACCTGCTTGACAATACTGATTTGCTGCAAAACAATGAATGAATTATGATGAACAGACTGAAAACGTAATCTTATTAGATAAAAAGCGATGTTGACAAAAAGTAATAAAAGGGTATTTATCGCAATACATATAATCATAATACTTTTTAATGCCTACTTATTATGCTTAAATACATACAATTTATTAAATGTATTATCTGTTATAGATCTTAACAGACTAGCACCAGTCTCTAATTTAAGCTAATATTCAGACATAGTGAAACTGTATATTGGGAGCCAGTTTTCCTGCATGTGAATGTGAAGTGGTTCAGGACATCACTGGAGAGCAGAAGTGAGAAGGAGAGAGTCAAGAGGATCCGGTCACATTATACTTAGTCAGTCTGTATAATGTCTGCCACAGCAGCCTTCAGGGAACTCAGACAGTCTCTGCATCTATAGGTATTACAATTCAAAGAGAAATGTAACGACGCATCTTATTTGAGGTTGTTAACAACCCCTGCTACATAACAGAGACATGCACGCAGACAGAGATAGTTTATGTATGAAAAATGAGAGAGGAATAATATCTATAGAAAAGCTACGGCTCGACTGAAGAATATAGCCTGCTGTGGTGTTTATGATCTTTACATTAGAGCTGTCTGTGATGGGCATGCATTTCAAAATGTTGAGGGATAAAAAATAATCCTTACACTCTAAATCTGAATTTACTATACACCAATATGAACCTCAAAACAACTGGTGTAACCTACTGCAGGATTTGAAAAGGCAGTCCTAAAGACACTACTCTAAATGTTATGGTTTATTAAAACATTATGTGGTACACATGGTCATAAATCTTGGAGCAATATCCTTGGAGTTTAAAATTAACCTTGGCTGTCATGTGTGAAGATTTCTAAGAAACGTTGGCCTTTGACACAGCTAAAAACAGACATAAATCGTTTTTTTTTTTTAAACTGAAATACTTTTTAGCGCAACGTCATTACTTATTTTAAGCCTTGTAAAGAAGGAATAACCATTACATCCCAGGTTTTGACCTTTAGCAGCACAAACTAGTCTGACCTTCAATTTAGACACTGCCCTAGCAGAGTCAGTTTGAGGATTGTGCTTTGGATCTCCACAGCTGTCCAGCAGCCCTAAACCCCCCCCACCTCCATCAACCCATACTATACCACAATGCTACCACCCCCACATTCCCAGAAACCCCAGCAAAACCCGTGACGGTGGGGCCTTTAGTGGGTAACTTCCTGTGGAGTGCAGGAAACAATTTTACATGGGGATTAGACAGCACGGAGAATAGAGTGGACAGCTACAGACAGACATCACCTCTCTTTCTACTGCAGACGCAAAGCATCTTTTGAATGTTTAAGCTTGGTATCTGTCAAAAATCAGAGTATTTGTTTTGCTCTGTGTTTTGGGTCTTGTTGAAGTCATTGCATTATACAGCTGATTCTTATTCTTTTAGAAAAACAGAAAGGTGAATTTGCTTCTAAAGGAAAATATGCAGCATAGGGAACAAAACACCTTCCAGATTATTTGTTTATGAAAGTGAAAACATCTTCAGATCAGATCTCATAGGTCAGCTCAGTTCAGCAAGTAAACAGTGAGCAATGTGGAAGTCATGAAAAAGTAAAAAATATTTCCTATATGTACTAACCATAGATCTGATTCCATAATATGTTCATCCTGTTGAGTTTAAATATCCTGTTGCCTCTTGTGAGAAGTGAGAAACTGTATGGTGTGAAGCCAATAAGTCACTCAGATACATGGCCGACGATGAAAAGTTCTTCAATATTTATCTACTGCAAGTACTAGTTTGTGTGTGCCCTTTCTCAATTTCAAATCTCTATATACCCAATCCACACAGTAATAATATAGAGTTCAGATGTGAGATGAACTACAGAAAACTAAGTGGTAAACTTGTTGGAAGAAAAAAAAAAAAGGGCAACATAGCAAAGGTGTAACGGGCCGTCTCCACGGCAGCGTTAAAAAAATCTTGAAACGCTTCTGCCCATTCACTTTGAATGGGGTGACGTCACTTTTTTTCGCTTTCGCCGAAATGCATTGTGGGCAGGCGAGCGGAGATTCTCAGGATTTTCAAGATCCAAAGTTGAACAATGTTCAACTTTTGAAGCTGAGGAGGAAGCGTCAGCCAATCAAATCCCGTGTACGCAAATCTGACAGTTCAAGCTCTAGCCAATCAAACGGCGTGTATGCTGGAGAGACATACCGCAGATCATTTCCTCATATTCCAAAAAATGGAGGAGAAATTAGCGGTAGCGAATCAATCACCCGGTGCTTTATGACCAGACCTACCGGGATATAAACCGGAGGAGCCAGGCATGGAGGGAGGTGGCAGAGACAGTGGTATGTTTTCGCCTGTTTTGGGGAGTTTATATCCAGTTTACTTCGGGCTTTTTGGCTTCGTATGTCGCGGGCGGGAGATTCATGTGATTGGTTGATCGCAAAAAAATCCCCAAGCTTCAGATACGCCCACCTCCAAGATTTTTTTAACGCTGCCGTGGAGACGGCCCGTAAGTGTAAAACATTTATAAATAGGACGGAACAAGGACACAATGTATACATCAGCTGCGAGTGTTCCTTTTTTTTTTCTCACTTGCAAAACCAAATTACTTCTTATTGTCACGAAGGATGAAGGTCAAAAACCAACACCTCATCACATTAATCAATGACCTGATCTTTATTTTTTCAAACTATGAAGTTGGGTGGAGATTTACATGTCACCAAATTCCACATACTTTGAAAGAGCTTTATAAGATAAAGGTTGTCCCACCCTAACATGTGCCACAAAGTGAACAAGAGACTCAGGGAGCTGTCAATCACCGACACCCTCTCAGTTTTGAAAGAGCGCGGTGGAGAGGTTAATAGGGAAGTTGTTTCCAATTCATTTTGATGCCAATGTATTCAAAGTTGCCATTATAGCTACATCAGTCCAACCTGCAACTATAGCGAGCATTTTTAATGTTGATTAATAAATAGATTTGTTTTCCAATAAATCAATTATTGTTTGGCCTATATTGGTTAGGGAGCATTAAAATGCCCAAAGCAGACAGGGCTCCCAGTGTGGTATGTTACTATATGTTAACACAGCAAAGTTTGACTCGAATCTACAGTTTATGGACTGACACCAATAGTTCTTACGGAAATAAGGTCATAGCATATGCGGTGCAGCTCTCATGGTGACAGTGACACACTTAAGAGTATAAGCAGCACAATGAGTTGATTAGTTTGTGAGTGTCGGTCTGATGGAGGCTGCTGGAGCGATGAGTAATTGATTTCATTCCAGAGTCTAATCAAAATGCCGAGACGCTAATTAAAGTTAGAAAAGTAGTGTCCTTGCTGTCGGGCTTGAGTGACCGTAGTGGAAACAGTGGAGACATGTTCCAGCATACAAAGCGGGTCCTTGTGACCACGAGAACATGCACATTTACAAAAAACGACCTTTGTGCGGATGCGTCACAGAAATTCTTGGAGATTTATGTGATGGATGAAAGGTCTGGATGGGTCCAAAAAGGCATTCAAAGAAATGACCTCAAACCAGCTGCCTTTTTTTGATGTCCAATTCCATATAACTATACACAACTTACAGCCATATATCAAGTTACATGTTTATGAGACATCTGAACGAGCACCAAGGATAAATACCACCAAGACGACCTTCATTCAAATATAGTGGATCATACTGCAGCAATAGATAATCAGTTTTCCTTTTTAGAGACCATTCCTCTCTCTCAAGTCTTTATCCCCTCCCCCACATTACTTGGCCTGGCTTCATGGGCCTCTGGCTGAAGTTGGGCTGGTGGGAAAATGGGAATGTGGTGATTAAGACTGGGCCTATATGACCTTCCAGCTAAAAATACGCTGTTTACTCAAGACCACTGCCAAGAAACTCTGGACTAGGGAGAGGGGAGAGGAAAAAAAAAGTCATGTTTTGAGAAAGGAGGAGGATGAGGGGGTCGGTGCATGTGTGTGACAGGAAGTCCAGTTTTGTTACTAGGAGTGTGTTTATCAGCAATAACTTTTATGATTGAAAGAAAGTGACTTTAGTTTGAAGAAAGTTACTCTCACTGTGAGACTTATTAATGTGGATAAAAACAATCAAAATGCTCTGATGTTTTAAACTGGGCCGCTTTGTGATGATTGCATGGTTGACAGACACTCAAAAACGTCAACACCAGAGACCCACTACTAAGCTTTTCATATAAACCCAAATATGTCATGCCTTCACTCGGATTTCACACACACAACCATAAAATTAATACATTCTGATACACTGGTCTCTTTCATCCATTGTAGCCCACACTAAAAATACAACTGTCAATTGTTGACTAAGCAGAAAGGGGGCTAATGAGAAAGCAGATGGACAAATGGGGAGAAGGAAGATTGTCCTCAAGTGTCCACTTTACTTCTGGTAAATGTTGTACTCTGTACTCAGTCCCAGCTTCGAGAAGGAATTTGAGAGTCAGGAAAGTGGGGATGAGAAAATAGTGATGATTTAAGAGAGACTTGAGTGTGGGCACAGCAGGAGGGAGCAAGCTGCTTGGCACTTTGTGCTGACTGAGGCCCCGTCCACACGGACACGAAACGGAGACGAAAACTAAACGAACCGAAGTCGATATCAAAAAAGTCTTCCGTCCACACGGAATCGGCTCAAGAAACGTGTCCGTCCACAAGAGACTGCTCGACCCGCTGGAGACGCTGTAGTACATATGCCGGGCCTGTAAGTGGCGCTGTAGATTTTGCACTAACATCTGTAGCATGGTCAGTAGTGTCTGGAGCACGAACACAACCCCTGTGACGCGGGGCTGAGCAGGAGAGGTGGGGAGAGGAGGGGCTATGATCGTATAGGGGCGTACACACGGAGCCACAAGCGTTTCGTATCAAAGTGTATCGTTTGAGGGCTCCGTTTCCGCCTTGTGTGGACGAACCGTCTATACGATAAAGAACTGTAGCGGATACAACCCGTTTCGTCTCCGTGTGGACGGGGCCTGAGAGACAGACAGGGGAGACCCCATGCTGTCTGCCTGCACACATTTGTCTATCACCCACACACTCAATATGCTGCCTGCAACTGCGAGAGGTCAGCGCAAACACACAACAAATCTATAATAGGACTACTGACATATAGGCCAAACAGATGTTAACATTGGAAAAACGTTGTTGCAGCTTCTCTGCTGTTACAAATCAGTCCACTTAAAGAGCTAATAATTCACTGTGTTGTGGTATGATTGATATAACATTGAATTGTGGTAATTTCATACTTGATGTTGGAATTTCTCGATTGACAGATGAGACAATGTATACCTGCAGAACCATTTTGGGTTACTTATTAAACATATGAGTCTCTTGCAACTAAAATGCAGTGCAAAGTCAGTTATCACAGATTTTAAAAATCAATTTTGTCCAAAAAAATGTAGATACCTCAAGATAATGTACTATACAATATATATTAAAGATCATCCAAAACATTACACCCTCTTTCTCATGTCTCATTGATTGTTCTGTGTCCCATCAGCAGTATGTTATTCTTATGAGTAAAACCTGATTGAATGACTGATCATGAATAGAGCTGACTGTGTAGTATGTGCCCTGCAGCTATGTTTGGGTAACACAAATCCTTATAATTCAAAGTGCATAACGAAAACAAAGCATGGTATTTTCTTGGTTGAGCATGACTAATAATGTATATTCACAAACAATTTAAAACAAAACACATTAAAATAATACTCCCATTATAACCAGGAATTTATGGTTCCTGGTTATAATGGGGGAACCATTACGGGGGAACCATTACAGGTAATGACCAAGCACATCTCTCTCTAATCTCTGCACTCAGTGTGATGGTCTCCCTTGAAAAAGAGATCAATGATCTCAATGGGATACAACCTGGATAAATAAAGGTTTGAAATGAAATGAAATGGAGAACCCCGTTTTAACAAATTGGTTTAGTTATCTCCCTCCCAAACCACTCTGGCCGGCACCATGATGAATAATCTGAGCATTACCATATTAACCTCAATCTACTAGGATAAAAATAATTCCTCTAATTCATCACCATCACATCTGGGTCGTTATTCAAATCAAAAGTTGAGATAAATGTCTCCTTTTGGACTGTACAATTCAATTAACGTAAACCAGAGCTGTCCAACCACATAACAATGCCCTGATTTATTAGCGCCCCCCCACACAGTTGAACTTTCGGGCGTGTCCAGTCATTGGCCAGGTAATGACCAAGCACATCTCTCTCTCTGCACTCAGTGTGATGATTACAGCAACGCTTTTAACACACTCCCTTCAAAACCTGTAGTTAATTGTGCCATGTGGCCTCAGGCCACCTCCACTATAATGTAGAAGTGACACACGCACGCACATCCGAGCCACACCTCTTCTGGGAGTGCTGCTTAGGTAGGACTGAGTCACCCAGTCCAGTTTGCCTGTCTTTCTCCTTCCATCTTCCCTTCCTTCTTTCCTTCTGAGCTTCATGAGACAGCACATCCTGTATACCTGCAACAAAATGTCCCAGCTCCCCTACCCTGCTTCCTGATGCTGCTCTCTTCTTGTTGACAACTGAAGCAGACCCTCGTCCATGCATTAGCATTGTATGATAGTCGGACAAGTAGAGCTTTCTGACTCATCGCCTTTGAGTCGGCAGATGTACAGTAAAGATTGTGGCTGAGGGAATAGGGGCGGGGGGATGATAAGGGCATGATGCCAGAGACAGAATGGAGCAGATCCTGGCTACATCACTGTCTGAGATCACAGCCCTGCACTAATCGTCTGGATCCAGCCCTCCATGAATCACTCCTTTGCATTGGCACTTGCATTCACTTGTCAACCACATGACCATTTGAATGTTATTATGTGTGAGGCATAGAGGTTCCTTGTAAAGGGCAGTTTCAGAGTATTCAGCCTTAAAACAAACAAAGTGATTGGATTTGGAAGCGGGATGGAGTTACCAGTGATTGGAACCTCATCTATGTTGAAGATTGACATATTATTGGCCAATGGAGCCCCAAACAACAGCCAAACCTTAAATGACAAACCTCAACGAGTCAAGAGGTTAATGAATGAACATTTACATTATCCATAATCAATCAAAGATACACTGATACTCCCTTAACATTAAAAACATGTTATTTAAGACCAACACAGATCATCTATCAATATACATGTTAGTTCGTATCACTTGCATGTGTGTCTGATGTGAGTATGTGCATTGATTTGATGTTAGGCCCATATGTCAGGGCTAGGCAAATAAGGAGAGCCCCATGAGAAAACATACATGGTGCAGATGAAGTGAAAATCAAGGGATTGGCCTGCACGCACACGTGTGCCTGCCGGAGGATACAGAACTCCCCAGCACTCAGAGGAAGCATACGAGTAAAATAAGGAACTATTACTTCCTAAAATGCCTGTTAAAAAAACCCCGCTTTTTTCATTCCTTACCCATTTGTTCCATTGGCTGTGCGAGTTGGTTGAGAAACAGTCACTTCAGCTGGACTCTGTCAACAGAAGAGAGAGAATAGGGTAAATAGATGATAATGCAACACCAACAGTAGCCTTTCCTTAGAACTAGTCAACAGGTTGAGTGATCCTTCAATAGTTTTCCTTCAGTGGCCACGCTACAGTAAAGCATACAGCCATTCCTGGCAGTCTCAGCACATAGCTGCTCTGTTCCTGTAATGCTTGGCTTTCACTTGCAAGGAGTGAGCTAGTGGGGAGAAATATGGCATTCAAAACAGGCTCATTTAATACAGAAGTGGGGAACAGAAGAATAATTTGTGTAATAGGAGCATGCACCCCAACCAGCAAACCCCAAAAGGCTTTTTCTCAGAACATTCATTCCTCTGAGAAGGTTGTTAACCTAAAAATAACCTCAGTCTTTCAGATTGCACTCATAACAGCATCTTTTGCCTTTATCTTCTATCCGCATGTTACAGTGTCACAAGTTTGCTGATAGCTTGATGAAAACAAGTGGGAAAAATAAAGAGCCTCTAGAGGGGGCTTGTATGAAAACAACACTTTGTGTAGTAAAATAAAAATGCTCCAATCTAGATTGTATTATCTACAGAGCTATGTTACAGTTACTAGCTAAATATAAAGGGAAGTTATCTCGACTGTGAACCAGCTGCTCATATCAAATCACATTCCCTCTTTTTTGGACACCAGTTTTGCATGGAGGTTGGGTTAGTGCTTCTAGCGAATACAAATGGGGCTGCAGACACGTGTAAAATCAAATTTCATGGGTTGAACAATGCACTTTTCATTCCTCTGTTAAGCAGTGGATGGGAAAAGGATGTTCCCTTTGACAGTGTTCAGGCCCCCTGGATTCTCAACCTGACCTTGGAAAACCCCATAAGACAGCAGCGCCGTGTGTCCCCGTGGCCGGACTTGTTGTCTCTTTGAGCCACAGCCTTGAGCCAGCCCCTGTGGCTGCCCTGGCCCAACTCAGGGGTGTTGGCCTACCTGAAACAGTATCCAGGTCAGCTCTGGGCCCTTCTCAATTCACACACCACACTTTACAACTGGGAAAACCAGCCTAAGTATAGCCCTTGCCCTGCGATAAAATAAGTCTACTGCTTCTTTTGGGACTGCTCAAAAATAACAAAGGAACAATTAACTGCAAATGTAAAGGTTAGTATGGCATCTGGGTTATATTTTTAAGGCAGTTGGACTCTGGCAAATGTCGGAAAGGTGGTTTGAGATTTGATTAATGTTTTACTCAGGGTGAGGTACTGTAAACGTCAAACCAGACCGACAGGAATAACTGAACAGTGTCAGAAGGCGACTTGTGAATGAAAGAGTGTGTGTGCGGTAACTCCCTATACCCCTGTCCGTTAATCATAAATAAATTCTACCAAGCAAGCAGCTCCAGAGAAAAAAAATTCAGACAGACAACGCGAAAGAAAAGGACAAATTAATACTGATCAAATCAAGAACTGCAAAGCTGTAATATTTTGAGTAAGACTTGTCAGAGGATCAATAAACTAATGAGTCAGGTAGATTAGGTACAGATATTTTCACTAATTATACACGAAAATGTGACAATTTACAGAAAGAAAATAGCTTTCCAATATAGTTAATGGGCTGTGGGATGGGGAACAAGGATAGCGTGCAATGCAGAGACCTGGCAAAAGCTCTCCCTTTGGACAGGCATGGGATGAATCACTCCAGACTAAAGCAGAGCACGGAGGGAAAAAGAGAAAGATGCCGTGATGTGTTCGTTCCGTGGCTGACTTCCGCTCTCGCTTTTCCCCCTCCAGTCTACTCTCTCTCATTCAGCTCTCCTGGGAGGCTGAGTAACCAGGAGGAAATGCTTGGGCTCAGCCAGTGTCGGCCTGAAGACCAGATGTGTGGCCTGGAGGTGGTGAGGCAGAGACGCAACGGAAACCAAATATAAACCAGTGTACCATGACACCGCTGAAGACAGAGGGCAGTAGTGACGGTTAAGGGGACCTGCTCTTACCAAGGCCGGACTGTGCCCATTTGTCAAGTAACAGGATACAGTGCGGTGCTCTGGCCCACACTTACAACTGTAAAGTCCTAAACACTCTGTGGTAGTAGTTTATTGGTAAACGTGAATGGATGTTGCATAAAAACTGAATAAATATGGAAAGAAGAGAGAATGACGGATGTCCTGTCCTAAAATGACTGGCTTGCTGTCCCAACACTGGGGGCATTCAGCTCAGAATGACTGTTTGGGCAGCTGTTGGAGAGCAGTTTCTCTGAATGAGGACTGTAAACATGCAGGGAAAGGGTTCTGACATGGCCCTGTGCTCTTAAGGGCAAAGCCTGCCCAAACGTCAGCACTGACTCATGATTCCAACCTCAGTGAGAAAGAGTCCTGGCAAAGAACAGTATGTCATCTACGGCTTTGGTGCTATGGATGCTGCACATCATGGGATCCTCTGGCAGTGCTTTGGAAAACAACGCAGGAGAGCGTGGTGAAGGTTTTGGATGTCTTGAGCGAGGGAGAGTCCACCAGACCTGCGGGTTACTGCGGTCAGCTCTGGCAGGAACTGAACAGAGGCCTACTAAATGGAGTATTTCAGTGTTACAAAGCCCAAATGAGACACACACATACACCCAGGGAGGTCTGACCAGCTAAAATGTGGCCTCTCAAGCTTCAATTGGGCTTTCCCTGGGACTCACTGTAGACCATCTTCAACCCTCCGCCCCACCCCCTCCGTTAACACCATGGAAAGCCAAACAGAATCTGTTAGATCTGTATATTCTGAGGGGAGGGGCTGTGGGGTGCACAACCAATTGTGTTGTTAAAGAGTGGGTCAGCTGATGATATTGGCTTAGAGTGGTGCAGCTGTGGTTTTAATTATTCGCTTAGCGTGAACTATTGACATATATCCAGAGGAAACAGGTTTATGGAAGTGAATTGATTACCTGCACTCATTACATCAGGGAATTGATCATCAATAACTTCTAACACCAATGTGGACGTATAACAGAAAAATACTCGTTTCATTCAAAAGAAGAGTTTACTTTGGTTACTATGGAAAACATTGTCTAACTGGTTCCTGCTAATTAGGTTTTTCTCATAATCTGAAAAGGCCAAAAATTGATTTTCCTCAACAGGAAATATATGTTGTTTTGAAGATTTATGAGCAAGAAAGCAATAGAACCACAACTGTAATCAGTGATGTAACACCACTGCAAGGCATAGAACAGCACTAAAGACAGAGAAGCATTATGACTTCAGTCATATATACGATTATAACAAAAATGATAGTAGCAGCTTTGTTTTGGACTTATTCTTGTGTAAAAATTACACTAGTTTAAAAAATGTGAACTGGACTGAGGAATAACAGTAAAAGTGCAGTAGTATGCTATGCTATTCAACTTATCTTCTCAAGAGACTAAGACAGGCCAGAATGCAATCCCTCAATCAAGGTCATCTGCTCAGATATACATCAACAACTCTATCAACCAACGTTAACCCAAGCCTCCCAAGAGGAGCATTATTCTGCAGATGGAGCATGGGTTGCATTTTGATGAGGGATCCGGGAAAGTTAAAAGAAAAGGAAATCTTTGTGCCTCACTTTAAAAGGCCATCAGCCGTCTCCATATGGACATGCTACAATGATCTCGTATTGATTGTAAATATGGAGTACAGTTAGGTTCCTTTGACTGCCAATAGCCAGGCAGATGGTACATTATGACCAAGACAGGGATGTTTGCCAAGAAGAAGAGTGCTACACAAATGCCTCTCTGGATACCCCTGAGCAACAGATGTTGCTCTTATCTGGCGGCTGCTACTTCTGTTGAGGCAATAACCATGTAAAACATATCTGTTCCCAACGTTTTCATGCAAATCTTTGTGGTGTTACACTGGTTGGATGCAAGCACACAAATGGGCCACTTAATAGATGATCAGCCTTTGTAAGTAGTGGCCCCAGGTGGTATTACTTTCATTAACAACACCTACAAAGACATGCTGTTTGTATACATGTAAACCATGTCTCAGCAGCACAGAATACCTAAGACTATGTTATTATGTAACATAATGCAAAGGCAAAACACCTTTTAGAATATGTTCCTTATAAAGGGTGAATCTGATGTGAGGATAAGCACACAGTAATAAATACATAAAGGTGTAATATTCTAAGAGGCTGTACATGAAGGGATGTACGTTGGGTCATACAGATAGAGCCTACCTCAATTCCAGGCAACAATGCCCCCTCACAAGTGGGTGGACAATGCTGAACTCTCTGCGCCTGATCAGATGACTAACATTACAGAGAAGACAAGGCCACAGTCTTATTTGCAATTGAGCGGGGAGGCCAAACACACAGAATCACTTCAACACTGGGTTTTACAGCTAGAGTGTGTGCGTGTGTGTTTGTGTGTGCATGTGCTATTGCTCAATGTTGCCCAAGCCTTCAGGAACGTGCAAAACCTAAAAATCAAGCTGGCAAAAGCAGCAGCACATTTTCTGTCCTTCAACAGTGATAGAGCCTAGGATTGAACAGTTAAAAACACTGTAGCATGCAACTTTAAAATGTGGGCAATATACACAGATTGCATGGATACCTTGAAGTTCCAATCCATATTTACTTAAAAATAATAATAATATTCATATTAGGAACTGATGTCTCTTTGCACTCAACTGATATAATCCTTCTGAAGCTAAGCCAAGTTGCAAGAAGACATACATGACAGTTGACAGCTACCACTAGACTTGAACATGTATATTAGCTGTGTATGTGAAGTATTCATGCACAGGAACTGTAGTGTACTGCAGGTGGAGAGTTTTTACCCGTCCATTGGGAGTCAAGTCCTCCTTGTTGCGCAATTCAAAAGACTCTTCCTCCTCTTTCTCCCCATAGTCCCGTCCGAGCAAACTGAAGCCCTTCCTGCAGCACAAAAACCAGCAAACTCCTTGCAAAGGCATTCAAATGAGGTTATGTGTGTCGTCTTCTGATATCCAGGTCGGTGAATTCAACATTCACAGTGCGGCCGCAAGTAACTCCAAGAGTTGCGTGAGAGCATACAGGACAGCCTCTCCATAGATATCCAGTGAGGAGGATGAAGGGTAGCATAAGCTTACTGTCTCTCCTTTCTGTTAAAGAAAATGTCTAGGAACTGTACATGACAGCAGTAGTACTCCAGCAAAACCAACAGAGAACGGGTTCAGGAAAAAAAATAACTCCCTTCTTCTCTCGATACACCTTGCTGTCCTGTTAGAAGAACTTCACACGACCAAAGTGCGACAATATGTTTTGTTCCCAAAAATGGCAGTAATGGTTAAAAAATACATGAAGGTGAATGCACCTAAAGAGAAATACTGTTGTTGTCAGCGTTTTACTAACACATTGACTGTGTAAAGTAAACGAGAACCTCTGGAAAGTCGCCTACCGACTGTCTGACTTCTGAATTTGAACAAAAGCATGCTGCAGCTGGGACTGAATGAGTGGGAGGGGAGGCTCCGCCCACAGACAGCACGTCAATATTCTGATTGGCTGAACTCAGACACTCCTCAGAAAGACGCGCCCAGAGCACACGCCCCTTCAAACTGACGATGCATCACATGTCTTTTTGTAGATGATAGTAATCAAATCATCCAGATGTCACGGTAATACTCATTTAAGAAGTCTGTGGCCCTCATCAGTAAGGGTATTTCTTTACTGTAGAATTCACACAGGCAACTATACTCAAAAGTGAGTCTAAATAGACTTAAATTATGCTTATTATGATGGTCTTTTAAATCTCCTTGCTTAGTTTTAGGCTAAGTAAAAGCTTGTAGAATCTGAAAATGTATGCAATTATAATGTAACCCCCCCCCAACAAAATCTTGAAGTAACTTAATACTTTATAGTGGAAGGTCATTTGATAATTTCTTATAAGTAAAGGATTATTATGTTATGTAAAACTAGCAATTCTGAAAAGTGACTATAGAAGCCAACTGTTGCTGTTAGATAAATGGGATCGCGTAAATAATATTAACCGCTCAATAAAGTAGCATGACATTTCTACTTTCATACTGAAGTTGAGTTGGTTTCTCTATAAATATTCACATGATATTAGTATGCCCTTTGCTGTGGTTAGTATGCTATGATATTTGCATAAGACTTTAAAGTCTTACAACTTACTATACTGTTTCCAACGTGAAAGCCATCAGTAGTGAAAGGACATTACAACATGACTGGCTGACTTTTGAAACCTTATTTTGAAGGGAGATCAGATTTGAGTGTGTCATGATGTTGCTTATTACCCCCAGTATTTGGTAACAGCTCTGTCATGTTCTCTCTTTATTGCTTTTCTGCATATCTTTTTTTTCTCTTACTTAACTCTTGTTCTCTTGCTTTTCTTGCACATACACACATGTTCACACACACACACACACACACACACACACACACACACACACACACACACACACACACACACACACACACACACACACACACACACACACACACACACACACACACACACACTCCTCCCCCACTTTTTCCTCTTCCACTTTGCTGAACAGCCTACAAAGATACAGCAGTAGGAGGTAGAAGGACTGGTGCTAAATCCAGACACGTGATATATCCAGCCCCCTCGGCACTCATGCTTATTTCTCCCCTTAATATCCCTTCATTTCCCCTTCTCAGTTCAAACTACCCCCACACATCTCTGTCAGCTGGCTTTAACTCGTTCCTCACCAAGAAGAGCTCTTGACTGCTGGTCTTCCCACTTTAGCTTGATGGATGCTCCTTTCATTCAGTTATTCCCATTAAACACACACACACACACACACACACACACACACACACACACACACACACACACACACACACACACACACACACACACACACACACACACACACACACACACATGCACTGTATGTTTCAGTGTACTGCCCCTTGAGATACTTTTAACCCCTTATCCTTCTTGTTCCCTGAGAGCTTTGTAAATCAATAAAAGGCTCTTGGATGCACCTTTTCAGCTGGGGTGTACTCAGTGTTATGAACAGTATTCCTGACCGCCCCTCACCCCATTTGAGACACACACACACACACACACTAACAACTTACAATCACTGCCCCGCATTTCAACATTGGTTACAGGAAAGGAGATCATTTGTGCAACTGAATATAATTTAATTATTACAATATCCATTCCAAAAATAACATAGAGAATATTTTATTAACTATTTTCTTGAAAGTACAGCTGCTCTGGCACCTCTGCTCTCCTCCTGTCTGTATCCAAACCAGCAGTATCTTTCTCCTGCCAGATTCTCCCTGTCCTCCCCCATATCCCGAAACAATACGCTGGGGGCCCCTGCTCCCACAGACCTGGAGAAACATATGTTTTATTTTTAGAGCTCACTCCCTCAACCCACGCTAGTAAAGTAAAAAAAAAAGAAAAACCCTCCCTCCATATAAGGTTTCAGAAAGTGCTGAAGTCAGAACAAAAAGCATATAAGCATAATCCTCAAAATCTGCTTTTGCCTTGTATCATTTGTGAAAAAGTACAATGATGGTTGCTCTTTTAAACTCTCCCCTAGTCTTCCTCTGTGCCCTCCTCTGTCCTTTCATTACCCTCTTTCCAGGAGATGACACATGATTCTCTATTAACACACACACACACACACACACACACACACACACACACACACACACACACACACACACACACACACACACACACACACACACACACACACACACACACACACACACACACACACACACACACACACACACACACACACATTTTTGGATACACACAAGATAACCCGATACAGTGTGTCAAGTTGAAGCACTCAGGAGAAGGGCAAATTATTTGGTTGGGCTCCGAGTATGAACATTAGCCTTGAGCCAGAGAGGTGTGAATCTGGTATAAAATATAAGTTATTAAACATGTTGATTCTTGTGAAGCTGTGAGATTCTCTCAGATATGTCCAACAATAACAAAAAGTTGATTTACCTTTAAAGCACAATGAGAATAGGGTTCTTGATAAGCAAAACAGTTGGTATTACGTTTAAACTTCACCATATCTTAACTATGGTGTTCATAAAAGTTTTTCCTTCATCTTATTGATTTTATTGGATTTTTTTTTGTTTACATTTCTGGCTGGTCCTACCCACGTCCTGCCTGCCACTCCTCACAACACTGCTTGTTGAAATTGGCGTGTGGAGTTTCAAACAGAGACGTAGACACAAGTCACACATGTCAGGTTGATTGGAGACAGAGCAGAGCAGTGCACGGTTCCCTCCATTTCTCTCTCCCTCACTCACTCTGTGCCTCTCGCTGTGTCTCCCACTCTTTCCCCTTTGAGTTACTTCCTGCAGGATCCCATTTCACTGAAACCCACATTGTAGCAACACTCTTATGTTGGTGAACCAGATTGATTGTCAACATAAAGGGATGTGAAATCTTGGCCAATGAGGAGCTCCCTTCATGTTCACATTTGGGTGGCTGAATGCTTGTTATGTTCTTTTTTTACATGTTCTTTTGGTAATGGTTCATCAAATGTAATGATTTGGTTAAGGAGAACTTTGGGAATTTAGCTTTAAGGGGTTGTTTTGAAAACTAGGCTTTGAATGTGGTATGCAGGCACAAGTAGAACAGATTCAATAATAGTCTCTGTTTTCTGTTCAAAACAGATGCACTGTCTTGAGTGAACTACTAGTTTCCCTCTAGAAGTCAAGGTCAACGTTTATCTGACAACCCCAAACTAAGGATTTAGTATAGGAACTGACCTCCAGCGACCCTTCAGCAAAGACTCAGACAGGATTTCCTCCCTGCTGTGTCTAGCATTGAACTTAACCCTCATCCTGCCAGGCCACCATCCCCTCTTCCACAAGCCCAGTGTGTTTGGGTCGAGCAGAGATTTGGAATATGGGTTAGTGAACAGAGGACTGCTGTTTGACGGCTGTTGGCTCATGTAATGGGATATGGCTGCTAGGGAGCCCAAACTACTGCACCACTTGACCCACTGTGAAATATCCAGCTGTGCATGTGGATCGTTTGTGACAGACAGGCTTCATGGGATGAAATGATGAACGAAGATTCATTTAATGAAATGGATGATAAAGAAATTGGAAGATCTACTTTCATCTGCAATGAGTCACACGCAGGCTTAATAAAATAAAGAGTGAACATGATTTTTGGTTATGCAGCTAAGTTTTCATCGATGCCATGTGCAGTACTGTCTGTGTTCAGGAACTGTTTACCAGTATCAGGGACACCACAGGGAGGTGTTTCTAACCCTGGCTGTGGGCACATCTGTTCATGGGGACTGTGTGGCACACAGGCTGGAGAAAACATTCCCAGGTTCAACTTCTGACCCTCTCGCCCCAGTTAACCCCTCGCATTCCTCCTTTTTCCCTTGCTCGGCTTCATTACAGTAACCCTTAACTCACCGGACGCTTGCACACTGGCTCTGCCTGTCATCACGTAAACTGCCAGCACAACTTTTGCAATGGATGAATAATTGTGTTGGATGGAGGTATCTCAGGTTTTATGTGCTGAGTGACATTCTATACCTTAGGCATCTGTCGTTGGTGCCATTAGACTGTAGATTCAATATTGACCGCATATTACAGCTATTTTATACAACTGAGTGAAAATAAATCACAAAGACTGATTTGGTCCTTCTAAGTGAGAAGAAAAAGTTTAATACAGCTGTTTAGTGTACAGTATATGGGCCTCCAAAATGCAATTGTCCAAGAAACATATAATCATTGCTCTTTTTACAGATTTAAGCCTATTGTATTAAGATAAGCAAAGAGCAATTTGAATGCAGACATTCCTCAGCATGGTGGAAAATGAGAGCCACAATACGAGAAGCCATGTTATCTGTAACCGTCATCAAAAGCCAAGTATGGAGGCGTTGCAGCAGAATCAGAAAGGCAGAAAGAAAGATGGGGGATTGAATGCTCTGAATAGTCAACCAAAAAAGATAAAAAGCCAGGAGAGCTGAGACTAAAACTGTGAGGAGACACAACAACCGACAATGCAAACAAACAGCAGATATACGCCCTCATGTTGTCTGCTTTTTTCACATCAAGGAGGGAATAAAAGAACAGACAGGGTGTCCCAACATGCATATTGCAGTTCATATCCTGATCTTCCTAGTTTGGGATTTCTAAACAGTAGCAAGCAATCAAGTTAGCTTAAACCTATTCCTGTACATTTTACTTAGTACTGATGCTTGGTTTATCACCACATACTAAAGGCAGTCCAGCTTAGAATAATTTACAATTAACTTGTGGTATTTGGTTAATGGTTGTGGTACTGTATGCACTAAAGTTGAGTGTTGGTGCAAGGAGAAGATAACTTATTGACAGTTAGGGAGGCTGGGCAGAGAGCCAAGGTCCTTCAGCTATTTTTAGGCTGCTGACTGTGTGAAAGTATGCTGA